AGCTAACCAACTAAGATCAACACTGCGGCGTAGAATCCAGTTCTGAAGGTAGCTTAAATACTGTGGTCCTCCTGATTACTAGATCAGCCACAGGTGTGTGAGAGGCTCAGCTTCAGGAGGACCCACGGCGCACTCTGCTGGAGGCAGAGGGTAATCTCCAGAACCTGACAGTGACTCCAGCCCTAAGAGAAAGAGACAAAAGAGAGCAGAAGAGGATCCTCGGCGCCCTCTGGTGGGCAAGCCTGAGGATCCCAACAGAGCCCCCCCCTCAAGGGCGGATTCCAGACGCCCCCTGAAAAAAAAGTCCAAAAAACAACCCACCAAGGGCGGGCGGAGGGGGCACAAGGGTGAGGAGGGCCAGAAACAACAAAAAACAGAGTCCAGAAAACAAAAAACAACCCACCCAGGGCGGGCGGTGGGGGCACTAGGGCGAGGAGGGCTAGAACCAACAGAAAAAGAGGTCCAACAAACAAAAAACAACCCACCCAGGGTGGGCGAAGGTGGAAACAGGCCAGGAGGGCAGAAAACAAAACCAGAGTCCAGAACAAAAAATGATCCACTTATGGTGGATGAAAACAAAAGAAAACCCAAAAACCCTCTTGGGCAAAGTGTCTGATGGCCGGCCGAGGGACCGGCGGCGGGACACAGTCTCAGGTGACCGGCCGAGGGACCGGCAGCGGGACACAGTCTCAGGTGGCCTGCCGTGGGGCCGGCTGCAGGACACAGTCTCAGGTGGCCTGCCGTGGGGCCGGCTGCAGGACACAGTCTCAGGTGGCCTGCCGTGGGGCCGGCTGCAGGACACAGTCTCAGGTGGCCTGCCGTGGGGCCGGCTGCAGGACACAGTCTCAGGTGGCCTGCTGTGGGGCCGACGGCGGAGGCGTAGTTGCTGCTCAGGATGTCGACCGTTGAGATGAAGGTGGGGCAGCGTCTTAGGGGGACCACCGCCGGGCCGGAGACACGGATGAAGTTCAGGAGACCGGTCTACCATCCAGCAACGGAGCAGAGTCTTAGGTGGCCGGCAGCGGGGTTGAAGGCGACGCTGATACTCTGGGGGTATGCCATGGGGTCGACGGTGAAGATAATGCTCCGAGGGTCTGCCGCGGGACCGGAGGCGAAGCTGACGCTCAGGAGGTCTGCCGCAAGGCCGAAGGCGAAGCTGACGCTCTGGAGGTCTGCCGCGGGGCCGGAGGCGAAGCAGCTTCTCAGGAGAATGACGCTCAAGCTTCAGCAGGTACCCCCACGGGGTACCCCGTCCCCTCCTCGGCCGCTCAGGCTCTGTAGCGACCGCCGACTGCGGTTCTGGGGGAGGCTCTGGGGAGACCGTCGGGAGTGACTCTGGAGGAGACTCTGAAGAGACCGTCGAGTGTGGCTCTGGAGGAGGCTCTGAAGAGACCGCCGATTGCGGCTCTGAAGGAGGCTCTGAAGAGGCCGCCGACTGCGGCTCTGGAGGAGGCTCTGGGGAGACCATCGAGTGCGGCTCTGGAGGAGGCTCTGAAGAGCCCGCCGACTGCGGCTCTGGAGGAGGCTCAGAGGAGACCGCCGTCTGCGGCTCTGGAGGAGGCTCAGAGGAGACCGCCGTCTGCGGCTCTGGAGGAGGCTCAGAGGAGACCGCCGACTGCGGCTCTGGAGGAGGCTCAGAGGAGACCGCCGACTGCGGCTCTGGAGGAGGCTCAGAGGAGACCGCCGACTGCGGCTCTGGAGGAGGCTCAGAGGAGACCGCCGACTGCGGCTCTGGAGGAGGCTCAGAGGAGACCGCCGACTGCGGCTCTGGAGGAGGCTCAGAGGAGACCGCCGACTGCGGCTCTGGAGGAGGCTCAGAGGAGACCGACGACTGCGGCTCTGGAGGAGGCTCAGAGGAGACCGCCGACTGCGGCTCTGGAGGAGGCTCAGAAGAGACCGCCGACTGCGGCTCAGGAGGAGGCTCTGAGGAAACCGCCGACTGCGGTTTTGGAGCAGGGGAGCCCGCCGACTGCGGCTCCCGGTCAGGAACAGGGGAGCCCGCCGACTGCGGCTCCCGGTCAGGAACAGGGGAGCCCGCCGACTGCGGCTCCCGGTCAGGAACAGGGGAGCCCGCCGACTGCGGCTCCCGGTCAGGAACAGGGGAGCCCGCCGATAGCAGCTCCACCACAGGAACATGCGGAACCACCGAATGTGGTTCAGTCTCTGGTGCAGGCGATATCACCGACTGTGGTTCAGCCTCAGGAACTGGGGAGGCCACCAACTGTGGCTCCACCACAGGAACAGGAGACATCACCGACTGTGGTTCAGCCTCAGGAGCAGGTGGGACCACCGACTGTGGTTCCACCTCTGGAAACGGAGGGACCACCCAAGGAGGCTCAAGTTCAGGCTCTGAGGAGGCTTGAGGCGTAGGTGGAGGGTTCTTGGCGATTAGTGGCCTCTGGTGAGGGAACCTTGGAGGCACATCTTCACCAACACTAAATTCTGAAGCCCTCTTAAGTGTATGCTCAGGGGTCTCTAGACGGCACTGGGGTGACTCAGGGGTCTCTAGACGGCTCAGAGCTGGCTTACGGCGACGCCGTTTCCCACGTCGGGGTTTTATGGAAACTGGACTAATAGGTTCAGAGGCTGACTGAGACCAAAGATTAATTGGAGTGTTAGCGGGTTCTGGTGCGGATCTAGTAGGTTTATGAAGAGGTGACAAGAAGGGGAACAGATCATCTCTATCCCAGTAATAGAAGTTCCAGAGGTCTGATTCACGGATTACGGGAGCTCTGACTGTTTGGGTTGTGTCTTGTGGTTTGATTTTAAGTTTTTTAATGGATGGTGCTAACTGACGATCATGTAAGTGGTGGTTGAACTGGACTGAACTGGGCAGAGACGGACTGAACAGGGCTGTACCGGGCAGGACTGAGCTGGACTGGGCTGGACTGGACTGGACTGGACAGGACTAGGCTTGGCTCTGGCACGTAGTCTGTGATCCTGATATATGGATAAACAAATTAGTTCTTCCAGGGTTGCAGGTTCATCTAATGTTAATAGTTTATCCCTAATTTCCTTATTTAAAGCATTTAAGTAGATGTTTTTTAACATGGACTCACTCCTTGTGTGAAATTGGACAGACCATGAGACTCGACAGATTTACTAGATTCGCCAGAAAATAGTGAAGGACGGAAATTAGGAAATGACGGAGCAGATTCTGACCTTAGAAGCGGATCTGAAACCGGAAGTGACGGACGGAATTCCGGAAAAGACGGAACCGGAACCGGAAGTTGAACAGGCGCCATCTTGCGATTCCAACGAAGCCTGTGAGATCTGGAAACGGTTGTTTTCTTAGAGTCAAACGGGGATTTTAACTCACGGAGGGACTGAGTGTGATCAGGAGTAGGAGGGTCCTGTTTCTCTGAGCTACGACGGGGGTGATCTGCTGGGCTTTGTGTTTTGGCCGCAGTGTTCTGTTATGATGGGTTCTCTAGAGTAAGCCCAAGATGCAGAACACACACGGAAGCACTGGTTAAAGTCCAAAGAGTTTATTAAAGTCACAAGCACAAGGGTAAGAAGTGGAAACAGTTCAGGCGGGGGGCTGGTTCACAGGGGTCTGAGCAGGAAAAGGGAGATGGCTGGTAACTGAGCCTCCAGCTCACTGCAGGGAGACAACAGGGGGAAATCCACATGGGAACCTCTCGGGGAAAACTCCACAGGGAAGTCAACAGGTAGCATCCACGTTAGATTCTTGGGTTGGCTCACCAGGGCAGATTAGCAGGTTCACTTTCCTAGAGCGTCAGGCGTGGGACTGGCTTCCTATGATGCAACTCTCCCAGAGCTGCAGGCCAGAGACAGGTTGCCAGAGAGACAGTTCTTCAGAGCTTCACAGGGAAACAGGAGGTTAAGCTCATCCTGAGCTTTCACAAGGAGACGGGTGGTTAAGCTCATCCAGAGCTTTCACGAGGAGACAGGTGGTTAAGCTCATCCAGAGCTTTCACGAGGGGACAGGGGGTTAAACTCATCCAGAGCTTTCACGAAGAGACAGGATTCCTGTGAGGCAGAGACAAGGAAGAATTAGATTCTAATCTCACACTAGAGATAACAAAGAATCTTCTGTAACAGAGGCTCAGGAAGCTAACCAACTAAGATCAACACTGCGGTGTAGAATCCAGGTCTGAAGGTAGCTTAAATACTGTGGTCCTCCTGATTACTAGATCAGCCACAGGTGTGTGAGAGGCTCAGCTTCAGGAGGACCCACGGCGCACTCTGCTGGAGGCAGAGGGTAATCTCCAGAACCTGACAGTGACTCCAGCCCTAAGAGAAAGAGACAAAAGAGAGCAGAAGAGGATCCTCGGCGCCCTCTGGTGGGCAAGCCTGAGGATCCCAACACAACTGTGATTAGTATCATTAATAAACACTGTGAATACAGAATGTTTGACACTATTGTGTGTTTTCCCCAATAGCGCCAGGAAGTCACATATGAATACATCACGCAATGTTGAGTTATTGTGTATGTAAATACGTTTTTTTTTTTTTTTTAACAGAAATTTACTCTGAAAGGATTAATGGCTCATGTCTTTTAAATGTTACCCCTGTACCCTCCTGCTAATAAATGTTTATTCATGTTTATGCTGTAGTATTTGTTTTTTTTATGTTGGTTTTATTATCAAATTTTGCCATTTTCCAAGAAAACAAAAAAAGAGATAAATTTTTAAGTTTTTAAGTTGCTAATTACCTTCAAAGAGGAATACTCACTTTGGTAAAAGGTGATGTTTTATTTCATTTGCTCTATGAACCCACAGTATTTGCTTCTGTACAAAAGAACATAAAAGACTGCTCATTCAGTAGAAGTAACAGAAATAAATAGATCTTCAAGAAAACTTGATTACAAATTAGAAAACTAATAAAAGCATATTCAGGTCACTTTTTGCAGCTGCATCCTTTAAACACCTTTAAATTGTGTAGTCCTTACATCTTCTTTGTTGCAAAAAAAAAATAAAAAATCATACTGTGAAATTCTCTTTTTGTGAATTTCCCATAACAACTGTAAGGTAGACACACCGGGAGTCTCTTTAACCAGAACCAGTGTCCTTCTGCAAGGATAACGGTGCAGGTGTATCAGTGGGAGTGATGATGGCAAACGTGGGAAACTCCTCTGACATTCCCAAAAAGGATACTTCCAGCTTCCAGTCTGATACTGATCCAGCATGAAGCAGTTGCACTCCGTTCTTGCTTTAGGTGAGTGAACTAAAATTATTTCCCTCTTTAAAACTTTTTAGCTGCATGCTTTTAAATCTCTGCTCATTCATTTTAACCTGTTTTGCATGGTAAAACTAATACATCATGTGCATCATATCACTGCTCTTTGCATGACACAGTGCTCTAAAAATTTAGTTTAACTCAATAGTTCTAAGAGTTTAAACACATTAAAAAAGCAGCATCTGGTTTTATTTCCTCATGTATTTTTAAAAAACAAATAATGTTCACTTTTCATTCAAAAAAACCTTATTTAGTTATTAATTCAGGCTTTTTCTTTCTGATTTTAGAATTTCTCTTTATGCTCATGGTTCACCAGTCCTTGCTCGAGAAGAGACTCTGTGTTTACCAAGTGACGGACAGCAAATACTCCTCTGCTGGTAATGTGAGTGGCTCCGAGCAGCTCTGTGATAAAACTGACTGCTGTTTGGCCATTTTTCAAATAATAAATGGCCAGCCGAAGGTTGACACTCTTGGTAAGATGGCACATGTCCAGATCAGAGAATCATAATCTTATTTAACTCTTAAAAGCTAAATTAAGATTTTCTTTAAAGGTTCTTTGATTCAGTATCCAAAAGCAAATGAATGTAAAGAAATTATTTAGAAAACAAAGAGCGTTCTTTTTTATTGTTTTTTATTGTTTTCTTATTTTTTCTGTTATTTTTAGCATGTGGCATAGCAAACATGGTTTGCCCTGATGCAACCTGCAGGGCGAAACCACACTTCATAGATCCCTACATTCAATGTACATGCAGAACAGACCTGTGCAACGGAAAAATCACATGGAGTCCAGAAACAGAACAGCCTCCAGTAACCCAGCATTACACTGCAGGTACTGACTGAAAGCAGCAATCACCAGTTAATTTATTTTAAGGACAAAACTCAGCTTTACTTTTTACATGAAATTTATCTTTTTTCTGACTAATGAAAAAATATATTGATTTGCTCTTATTTGAAGTTATGCTCTTTATTTTCTTATAGCTAAATTCATAACAGTGCTGGTGGTGATACTGTTCTTTACTGTCCTCGTGATTATTGCTACCAAATGGAAAAACCTTGGCAAGAAAAAAGGTAAGTTTGTTCATTCTGGACAATTTTTGTTTCAAAATGTTGTTTTTGGAAACATGTCAACTAACAGAATGAAATTCAAATAAGATAAAACCAACACTGCAGAGGGAATATTTTTTTCACAGACCCACAATGTTTCATTGTAAGTTCAATATAGAGAAATAAAATACTTTATCCTCAAGCTGTTTACTTGATAAAACATGCCCAGGGACACCTGAGTCCAGAAGACTTGGAACACCGAGAAAATGTCTTATGTTGTTGGTGATAACCAAAGCGTCCTCCTAATGATTCTGTATAAAAATCATCAAATCTCCTTAATGTTTCTCATTGACTTTGAAAAAACAGTTGCCAATCTGACTAAGGACTGCTTCATATGCTAATGAGGTTTAATTTTTTACAGTGATAACCCCTAAAAAATCAGAACCCAGGTTGTTGATCCCAGTAAGATAAAAAGTAAGATATATGCATTGTAGGTATATGTAAACACACCACATATATATTCAAATACTGATTTTTTAAAAATGATTTTTATAATGCTATGTAACTCAACTAATATGTATGATTTTTTTCAAATGTATTCTCTATAAGGTGTTTCATTTATGTCTTCCCCCCCCCCACAATAATGCAATACTGATTATATAAAAACACTTTATCTCAAATTCTATGTCATAGAGGTGAAGACATGAATTAATTTATGTATATTAGTGCAATGTTAAGCATGAAAAACTGCTTTGCTGTTAGTGGTGAAAAACCTTAATTCTTGGTGGGTTAAAGAACTTCTCTTCATATAAAGTAATAACACTCAGCTCTGATATTTTATTAGAGTATAATATTGATCTTGAATTTTTATTAAGAAAATCATTCTAACAAATTCTCAGACAAATTAAAGTGCCTTGCTCATGAACAGTGAATCAACATACCTGTCAACATGTGCAGAAGTCTGACTGAACATTTCCTTTATGTGAATTGTATAAAATTAACACATACATACATACATGTATATATATATATATATATATATATATATATATATATATATATATATATATATATATATATATATATATATATATATATATATATATATATATATATATATATATATATATATATATATATATATATATATATATATATATATATATACAGAGATGGGAAGTAACAAAGTACAAATACTTCGTTACTGTACTCAAGTAGATTTTTCTGATATTTCTACCTTACTTTACTACTTATTTTTATGGTGACTTTTGACTTCAACTCCTTACATTTTTACACAAACATCTGTACTTTCTACTTCTTACATTTTAAAAAATTGACTCGTTACTTTAGTTTTGAATCATTTCAACGGAGTTACCATTATTATTTTTCACGTCATCAATACCAAATTCAATCTAATTGGATGGGAATCTACGTTGCATTTGACGCACCACTACAAGATGAATCGACAGATTCGGCGGTATTCATTTGCGGCAAATCATTGCAGCTTGGTGGCGGTTGCGTTAGCATAGTAGTATGGACGGCGAGATGATTGAAAATGAACACAATGGAGATCTAGTCCTATTGGCAGACATCCATTTAAAATGTAGGCAACGACATGAAAAAAGTGGTTTCTACTTTTACTTTTATACTTTAAGTAAATTTACAAGGCTGTATTTTGTTACTTTTACTTGAGTAAAGAAGTTTAATCAGTACTTCCACTTTTACCAGAGTATTTTTTAACACAAGTATCTGTACTTTTACTCAAGTACGGAAAGTGAGTACTTTTGCCATCTCTGTATATATATATAAATACATATGTATATACATACATATTTTATATGTATTTATATAAATATATACATACATACATATATATATATATATATATATATATATATATATATATATATATATATATATATATATATATATATATATATATATATATATATATATATATATATATATATATATATAATGTTATTTCAATTACTAATATGAATTAATCTTTTTTTAGGAGGGTATGTAAACTTTCAAGTACAACTGAGCATTTAATGTTAAGATGCTGTAAAAGAATATAGCAAAATCACTTGAAGTGTGGGGTTTTTTTTCTAAATATTTTTCAGTTTTCTCTATTCCAAGTGTTTTTACTGTCCGTCTTATTTTTGTTTTTCAGAGAAAATAAAGCTGTTTCTGGCTTATTGCTACATTTGTTTAGCTAAAACCTCAGATTAAGATTCATGTCTGTTTCTTTAAACAAGTAACACAGAGCTGCACTTTGTTGGGCAATTTTAGTAAGAAAAAGAGAGAGAAAAACCTAGCTAATTTCACACGAAAGGGAAGGAAAATATTCCTCAGTGGTTCTTTGAACTTTTTATCTAACAATGAAGTTTCATGTCTCCGCTCAACCTTGGGTTTCTTTCATTCTCTTCTAATGCTGACCTTGGTCTTTATCTCTGCAATATAACTCCCCTTTATCTTCACTTGTCTTTCCTAACATCCCAGCAGATGTTTAGTAAAGCCAGTTTTAAATTATTAAATACATATGTGTGTTTAAAATTTTTTATTTTTGATGTATCTTTTTTAGAGGATCCTCTGCAACCTTCCTGTCATGACTATAATGTTCAACCACTGTGTTCCTGTCAAATAAAAGCCTCAGAAAACCAGATACCTGACATTGTACTACAGGAGGTAAGTCCTTTCCATTAGACTGTATGGGTGTTGTTAAACCATGATGTAATGTTCTGATTATTTAAAGTTTTTTACCGTACAGGTTTTGGGACAGGGGCACTTTGCATCTGTTTATCAAGCGAAGCAGAGGGGATCAGTGGTGGCTGTTAAAGTGTACCCTGCAAACTGGAAACATCTGTTCATCAAGGAAAAGGAGGTTTATGAGCTTCCACTGATGAAGCATGAGGGGATCGTCAAGTTCTTAGGCACTGGAAGGAAACCAGACAATGGCAGCCTTCTTATTGTGCTTCAATATGCTGAATATGTAAGTTGGAAAATTCCCTTTATTGTTAACCTATTTATACACCTGCTACTTTATGACATATACTTTGCTATGACTAGATTGGATCCCCTTTTGCCATCATAACAACCTTAATCCTTCTAGCATAGCTTCAAAAAGGTACTGGAAACATTCCCCAGAAAGTTTGGTCCAAATTGACATGACAGGATCAGGCAGATACTGCAGATTTGTCAACAGCACATCCATGATGCGAATCATGTTGATATATATACCTATAAGGAACACTGATGCATATTTTTCAGCCAGCTACTGCTAGATGAAAAAACAAAAAACCTCTTCTACCGAATGTAAATAAGTTATAATATTTAAATTGAAACAAGGATGTTTCTGTAACCCATATTTCTTTTCTTTCTCCTATTCCTGTTGATGCAAAAAGTTTAAATTCTAGAAAGCTGGATTTATACTGACTTTTATGCCTGTTGCTCAGGCTGTCAAACTTCTCACACTTAGTCTTGGATGGCAAACTTTTCTTTGATTTCAGGGTTCTCTTCACTCTTTTCTGTGTAAACACACCAGCAGCTGGATGCTGTCCATGAAGCTCTGCCAAACCTTATCGGAGGGACTTTCCTATCTTCACTCTGACCACCACAGCAATGGTACTGGCCAACATCATAAACCACAAAAATGTGTTTGCATGTCCCTTTAGTAGCAATCTTTTTCTGTGAGAGTTAGATTTGAAGGTACATAAGCATTCCTTTAACCAATAGCTGTAATAAAAACTGCTAATAAAGAACAAAAAAACATGTGTGACGAATAATGGATTTCTACTTCAGAAAGACTAAATTTGTTTTACACAGGGTGTGCAAAAAACAGTACAGTTGGATGGTATTTGCAGACATTAAGTTGAACTGTGTTTGTATCACCTCAAACAGTTATTTTAAGGCAGTGGGGATGGAGCAAGGCTTAGAAACCCTGCAAATCCAGTTTAGTTTACAGGTTACAATGACTCAAGATATTCAATTCCTCTTTTAACAGAATGTCATCTAATTTCTGGAAATTATATAACAAGGAAATATGCCTTTTTTCTTGCTTCTTTTAGTGCTGTTGCCTACAATTAGGATATAATAAACTGTGCTGCACATAGAAGTGTTAGGTTTGGGTTCCTCACTGCCCAAACTTGAATCTCATTGGTGGAGGGACAGTATTTGATGAAAAGACATGGAGTATTTTAATACTTACCCGACATTCTACTGGCTACCGCTCACCCATTATATGTCATTCAAGGGAAATGTAATTAAAAACACTCAAAAAATGAAACTGAACTTAAAGCTTTGTCTGACTTTTTTTATTTTTATTTTTTTGAAAAGGCATGCACAAACCTCCCGTTGCCCACAGAGACCTCAGCAGCTCCAATGTACTGGTGAGAGCTGACTGGACCTGCGTCCTGAGTGACTTTGGATCCGCCACTATACTGCGTTCTTGTTCAGGACATCGCTTTTGGCAGGATCACACCACAAACATGCAGGTGAGATGTTTTGTTTGGAATCTAAAGTCAAACAGCAAAATGAAGTAATGTGAAGGATGCTCGACTGAAAAGATTTATGACATGTAACACCATGTAACACATAAGGACTCTAAAATCAAACATGCATATTCACATTTTTCCAGCGTCACCCTCAGTTTTGCACACTCAACTACATGTCCCCAGAGATCTTGGAGGGTTCTGTTAATCTCAGCAGCAGCTCATATCTGCTGCAGGGGGACATTTATGCCTTGGGTCTGATTTTGTGGGAGATATGGATGCGCTGCTCTGATTTATTTCCAGGTAAGCCACTGGTATCTTAATATTTTTAATTTTTGGTCCTAATTAATATTATCTCATCTTTGTCTTTATTAAAATGTCAATTTGTGAAGATAATTGGTCCATATGTTCTATATGACTGCCTCAATTTGAACACAATATAGAAGTAGATCATTTATTGTTTTCACTGCTCAGATCATTTTATGTCTCTGACTCATGTGGGACAGTTTAAAAAACACAGTTAGGAAATGTAGATGTATACAGTCTAAATAGTGGTCACAGCATCAAACTGCAATTAAAATAAATAGCTTCAAGCACTAAGAAATAAAATATATAATATATAATAACATATAAATATAGCAGCTTGATTTAATATAAATCTGGATTAAATAGCACTGGAGTGTGGATCTAGTGTATTTTTTACAGAGGAGGCTAAAATCAAAAACAACTTTCAGGATATTTAAACAACTCAACATAATACAACTCTGTTTTTAAACCTTCTACATTTATTTACATGTCCTGGTGTCACTTTTGTGTTTGATACGGGACGGTCATGGGTTATGCATGATATCCTACTACCATTTCCTGAGTAAATAATGGTTAGCTTCTACCTAATAAAGACTCATGCAAATGTGATAACAGAGTCAAATTTAATGATAAAAGTTCAGAAAAATTGTGGATTGTTCTTTTGGACATCTTCTTTTGAGATGACGGTGATTCTCTTTGGCCTTGCTCCCTCTTTCAGAAGCCATTAGCTTCAAGTTGTAGAAGACATCAGGAAATATATAAACTGCATGAATGATATAAACTACTTATTTCCTTTTAGGTGAAACTCAGTTTAAATATACGGAACTATTCCTTTTATGTTTAGCTCTGTAGATTAAAATCCTTAATAAATGAGGCACTGATGCCTCTGAATGTGGACCACATGGTGGCACTCCAAAACGTCTCACAGAGCTGAGAGTCTAATAGATCAGCTTCTCATATCTAAACTATTTCATTTATCTTATAAAAGTCTAAGACATTACGAGAATGTTAAATTATGCTCCTAGAGATAAAAGTCTATTCTAAAGATATATTATCTTTGATGTTATATGCTACTTTTAGGATGGTGCTCTAAAAAAGAGACACTTTGATGAAACATTTGCAAATGAAGTGTTGTTTTCCACATTGCATGTTAAAAATTTTATGCAAACAAACCATTTTCTCCACAGACCACAGATTAGGTTAATGTCAGTGTGCAAACATCTCCATCTACAGGGGGCGCTGTTCCACAGCATCTTCTGCCTTATGAGTTGGAGCTGGAGGCCAATGTTACATTTGAGAGGCTCATCCTCTATGTGTCTGAGATGGACAGGAGACCATCCATACCTGAAAATTGGAAAGCACTCCCGCAGGTATTCATCAGCCCGTTGCTGTAGTGTTGGCTGGATATCAGCAGTAACATAAGCTGACTGGCTGCTAATCATTTCTCAGGGAGCTGGAGTGAAGGAGCTGCTGACAGACTGCTGGGACAGCGACACAGATGCTCGTCTGACGGCTGCATGTGTTGTAGACAGATTAATCTCCCTGTAACTTTCTTCACATACAGTAATGTTTGCTGGTTTTCTTCTCAACTGACATACACATAAAAAATAGTAATGCTTTTTTTGTTGATTATTGGAATTTTTTATGTTTAGCCTTTCAATTAGAGACTGTTTTATGTGAGCTTTGTTGTTGCTGTTGTTGTTTTGCTCTTTGGATTTAAGGCACATAGACTCTGAGAAAGTGTTTTTATAGTGTATAAGTGTATAAAAGTAAAATGGCTTAAGAGAAATTATAGCAAAATGCTCCAAAGGAAAAGATACTTATGTACCCATGTCCACAGAATGTAAAATAATATAACTGCTGAGACATTAATTACTAGACTTGAACATGCCACAGTGTGGTGTGGTTCCGTCAACAAATTGTACAGCTGTCTTGGGAATTGATGCAAACAATTTCTTCTACTGTATGTAATGCTTGTCATTTTTGTTTTGCTTTTTTTTTTTTTTTTAATGTTTCATTAAGCTAGTTTAACTTTTAATCACAACCGTTTTAATTTAGTCAGCCACAAGTTTACTTTGCTACTACTTTTGGTTTGTGGTCCCTAAAACCATTTTTATTAACATATGTTTATATATCCTAGTTACACATTAAAACCTAAACAATTATAAGTTTCAGCTGCTTTTAATATACACATTTCTGGGGTCTATTTTTTCCTCCCATGGCTTATATTGGTCATAAGGCTGGTGTTAAAGTATATAAATATGCTTAAGTAGATGCAAAAAAATGTATGAATCCTTTTTTTTCATTGTATAGTCATTCTATATAGATGGAAAATGTTCTATTTTGATTCATTTCTGTCTTTCTGATTTTACTTTCTCGATGTAAACTTTTTAGATAGCCTATATATAAGACATGTTGTTATTATTATTTATTATTATTATTTTTAGAGAATAAAATGCCTAGAAGCTGAGTTTGGTAATTGCCATGGGCGGTTCTAGACAGGGGTCAACGGGGCCAGTGCCCCTGTAGATCATGTCTTGGCCCCCCAGTTATGGCCCCAGTAATGAAGACATAATACTCGGAGAAATTCTAATGATGATAAGCGCCAGAACAGACATGGTTACTGATAGGTCCTTTGGATCAATTAAATTTTTCCTCTTTACAAATTATTCTTTACTAATTATTTTAAAAAAATACTGGTAAGGTTATAGCTTCAGTGGTATTGAGATAGGATCCCAGTTTTCATCTGCTAAATGTTTTTTTTTATAAAAAAAAATACTCAAATTTTTATAGCTGAATTTATCAGTTTTTCTTGAGTTCTGATTCAGATTTAATAGAAAACGGTCATTTTAACTTAAACTAAGTAAAAAAAAAAATGTTAATTTCTAAATTCTGAATGTATATTGAAATTAATAAGACATAGAAGTTAAACCTAATTAAAAAAAATGTCACTTCATGCAGCTATCTTAATGTATTTTAATCCGTTGCCCTGTTTTTTATTTCATGCTTTTCTGTGCCCCCATGAAAACATGCTGGCCCCCTAGTCAGAGGCGTAGCCATAACATTTTTATAAGGGTGGCCAGGCAATAACCAATGTATATTGAGGGGTGGCCAAAAGTGGATAAGCACCAGAACCTCAGGGTTAATCTACACTGTTCCAACAGAAACAAGCACAACGTCCACATTTCTAAATAAAGCCAAACTATAGTTTCCTACAGCCCTTGCTAACAAATAGATGCATAAATTTAAACATCCATCTAAATAAAAGCTATATTGGATAAAATCCTTCTAGGTTTGAGTTCTGGACCAAACATCGTTTCCATCGTCATTACTTACCTAATTTTATCAATATCATTCTACATTAAATTGATATTTACTAGTACTAACGTCTACCTAAATTGATCATTCAATAAGTTTTTATTAAAATAGTTATTTACAGTATCTATTATGTCACTGAAGACTCTTAGATGACTTGCAGAGACACATAATTTTCTCTTTACGGAATATAATGCAAAATCTAGTTTTGAAAGAGCATGAATTTTGTACTAATCATATCCAATGTTGGTATATTGATGTGCATAATTAACCACAGTGTTTTTGTTGTCAAGTAATTGTTCATATATATGTAACCACTACTTCATTTAGTTAGCAATAAATTCAGTAGGAAAGTTACTTTTGTTCTAGGGTCACACAGCAGGATGATAAGCAAATAAGTTTTAACAGCTCAATTTTATTTTATTTCTCCCCAAAAAAAAGTCTTGATAACACCATTTACCATAATACAATTTAGAATATAACTTAAAATGTCCACCCTTATAAGAAAATCAATGTTCAGGACAAATGAGGGTAGGTTTTCTAAATCGTAGCTTATAAGCTCATTTAAACAAAGTAATTAGTCCTTAGATATAACAGTTCGGTCAGTCAGTTATGTCAATGTGCACATAAGTTGTCAGTTTAAAAAAAAAAATAATAATAATGTTCATGAACATATTGTTTTGTTTATAGAAAAAAAAATAAGGACTGGGGGCCCCCTTTTTGTTTAATAAGCTTATCTGTTGTCCAAGCAAAATGTCCAGCTCCAGGAGCTCCAGTCCCTCCATCTTCCCAGGCTTTAGTCCAACATAAAGATGGCTGCAGGACACTCCTGCCTCTAGATCTCCACTCGTTCGTTCAGATATCGGCCGTCCAAAAAAACCAACCTGCATGCAGAGCATCAACCGATCATGCAGGCATACAGAAATCAGCAAAATCCTTCAATCACGCTCAGTAATAATCAATTCAGCATTTAAAATGAAAAAAAAAAAGCTCAGTAGTAAATAGCTTACTTAACAATATCACTTCAGCATGAAACAGTCTCATTTCACAGGACTATGGTAGCCTAATTACAGAGCGACACATTATACTCGTTTTTTTTCCTAGTTAAAAAAACTGAGCAACGTTAGCGCCAACTAGGTAGCCATTCTGCATAAGAACTAAGAAAACAAACACATTAAACATACAGACAGATCAGAATAGTTTATGGGGGTTACATATATAAAATCAAAATGTTTTGAATATTCTACTTGAGAGAAGAAAAGTGTTAGGGGTGGCCCTGGCCCCCCATCTAGCTCCGCCCCTGGTACATTTGGTCTTGAACCTCCAGTGGTGCCCAGTGGAAACCGAAATACAATAGCAACAGGAAACTGATTGATGTGGTGGAAGTAGGTTGCACCGGTAGTGCAGTACATTCCAGACATGTTTCTGCCTCCATGTGCTGCTCAGTCAGCTATAATGAGCACTTGGAAAACTCAAGATGATCCCTAGAGACCGTGACGCGGCGGGATGTTGGAATCAGGAGGCTCCACCCATTGCTCTGCCTCTCATCCCATCTCACCTCCTGTTGAGCGCATAAGCATAACAGTCAGAATATGACTCAGATCAGCGTTATTACTGCGATTACTTGAAAACTCTTTATATGGACAAACTGAAGTGTCCATTCATCTGTGCAATTTGCGGATCCAGTGAAGGCTGCTCCTGACAGGTGCGCACTGTGTCCAAAGGAGGATGGGCAGGCGTGAAGCGCACGGCAGAGGCGCGATGAACCCCAGCCACCTCTCCGAACTCGGCTGTCTTCAGGACTCTGCGTCCAGCGGACAGCATCGGGGAAGCGGCGGAGAGCAGCTGCAGAGGACCGACGGCGGTCATCCATGCAGCTCAGATCAGCGGCTAAGAAAGCCGGTGACAGCGAGCCGGGCATCGGCTTTGGCTGCAGCGCCGGTGGAGGTGAAGAAACACCAGCATAAACACAACTTGAAGCACCGCTATGAGGTGATGGAGACGCTGGGGAAAGGTACCTATGGAAAAGTCAAAAAAGCAGTGGAAAGGTCCAGCATGAAAACGGTGAGTGTAGTAAGAGTTTGTGAAATCAAATCAGAGATGATCTTAATGATGGGGCTGAGGATTTATTTGTTCATATAACCCTAACATGTTAAAGCATTAAAAAATATATATTGATACATATAAAACAGTGTCTAAAGACTGGCTTTATGTGGTTTCTTGGAAGGGGCCACATTTTACAGCTGCTTTTTGTTTCTCTGATTCTGTCTCCTTGAACCCCAGCCAGCCTTAGCAGATGGCTGCTAACACTGAGACTGGATCTGCTGGAGGTTTCTTGCTGTTAAAAGGGAGTTTTTCCTCTCCACTGTCGCTACAAGCATGCTTAGTGTGAGGGGTTGCGTTCGAGTCAGTGAGTCGAAGCAAACAACTGGTTTTCCTTAGATAGAAAACAATTTGACTGTATGATCTGGTGAACTGTAAAGTGCCTTGAGATAACATGTTGTGAATTGGCGCTATATGAATAAAATGAATTGAATTGAATTTCTGGCAACACATGCACTCAGAGCTAGACATGACTGAAAGGCATGGATACAGTGAGCATAAAAACATGAAACATTTTAATAATGGTACCAAATATCAGATATTGTTGTATTCTATAACAAATCGTGGAGCACAGGGGTGATGACATCTAATCCAAGCCCCATATTTATAAAGAGGATGCCTGTGTTTATTTATTTATTTGGAGACTAAAGTAACCTCTGGGCTTCCGTGTGTCTTTCTGATGCTGAAGATTTGCATCTTGCTCTGCCAGGCTGAGATTCCTTTGCTCTGACTCACTCATTTGGGGGGTAAAAACCCTGCAGGTCTCTAACAGTAGTTTGACCCAGTTCACTCAAAGCCTGCTGAAACTCAGCTTAAAGACAAGCAGGATCTGTTTTACTTTAAAACTTCTGCTGTTAATAAAAACAATGGAGAGAGAGAGAGAATACTTATTTTAGGATGTGATCTCACAGCCTTTTAAATTAGTCTGACCACCAAGAGACAAGCTATTCCTCTAACGCATAATAACTTCAATCTTTTTGGAAATGTGAGATTGGTTCTTGTACTTGCTGCTTCATAACCCTAAACATCTAATCGGGATGAAAGACAATAAGGAATGAATAGCAGTGGTTTTGTGTGCAGGGTGAGGCAGTTTGTCGGGACATGGGGAAAATGCAGAATTCCTTGAGCCATTAGCCACTGCATACCAGGGATTCTTTCAAACAAAACACACATTATTTTTGGAAACAAAGCTAAGGGGCTTTTGACTGAGCTTAAGGAAAAGGGAAGAGAAGGAGGAAGACACTGTCAAAAAAATGATAGGAGTTGAACAAAACTAATTTAAAGAATGAATAGTAAAATTTGGTATTTAGATTGAGGTGAAACATTATGAATGTGCTTGATGTGTTAGCCTCACTGATAAATACATGAGTTATTCATATCTTTTAAGTTTTCTTCTGAAACTTTAGTCTTTACACCAAATAGTGGTTTGCAAAAACACTTGAAGAGCTTAAACATTTCTCAAGTTTTGTTTGTTATAGCCACAGATTTTAAGGTGGGAATGAGAAACATAAGATAAGACATAATGGGTTGAAGGAAAATTATCTATATTTTTTAAAGAAAATCTGAAAGGGTGGAGGATATTTGTAGCCATCTCCTTATGAGTCAGCGTATGTATTGAACCACCCTTTGGTCGGGTCACAGCTGCAGGTATTCCGAAGCATCTAGAATTTCCCTTCATTTAATGACTTTAAAGCTCACATTATATCTGACCAAATGTTGTTACTACCAAGTTTCACTGTGTTATTGGGATTTCAAGATGGTGCAGTATTAGTTTCCACACTAGCTGTCACAATTGACAGTAAAAAGTGTAAAGCTCCACCATAGTCTCCTTTAACCAGAGCCATCTTTTCAGCCTTTTCGTTCCCCTTCATGACTTGTGGGAAACCACATATGGTATTTTGTCCTACAGATCAGAAGAAAAACATGTAAAAGCCATATATACATATTGTTGAATGTATTTTTTTTTTGTTGGAGCACCTTGGTATATTCTAACAGAATCCTACAAAATGAAGAAAGTGCAGAAAAATATATATATTAGATTCTCAAAAACCATTTTATCTTTCATTTTAAAAGGCAAAATCCTACGCTTTCATCCTCAGTAAGATGATGAAGACATATTTTCTATAATATCACATTATTACTTTAACTGTAGTGTGTTTGTCTTGGTCCAGATCCCTGTCAGCAGCACAGTCCTGTAATTGTTGGCTATGAAAGGAACAGCTTAAGTCTCCGTGTTTAGCCGAACACTGAGGTCCAGGGTCTGTTTGGCAAGGATCCTGTCTAATCCCATGGCTAAATCTTACACAGATGCTTAAGTGACTCTTGGGATGCGTATGTGTGACTTTGCATGCATGTGTTTGCAAGGACATTTTTGATTCTGATTGTAAGCCAATAAACAAATCAATATCAGTTTCTCAGCATCCTGAAGATTCATACAGATATAATAAACATTGTTTTGTCAGGACACAATTAATACCCTGGAGATACTGTAATAAATATAGAAAAGAGGAAAAGGAGGAGGGAAATATGACACGCTGTTACTAAATCAAAATAGCCTCTGAATTTCTTTGTCACTCTATCTTTTGGTTTAATATGCAAGAAAAAAAATCTTGTCACTTCCTTTTGACTCATGCAGGTTATTGCTTATACAGTATATCCTGCTTTTATGAAGCAGTTATTCTTAGGCCAGAATTTGTCATTTGAATCATTGCATAGAAGAACAAAGAGACATGCTTAGAAGGCTTACACAAGTTAAACTTCTCCCACATTGAACTTGTCCAGAAGCATAAACAGTACCATTTTTATGCAGGGTTTTTATGAGGGTAAGCAGAGGCTCCCACTGAGAGTAAAACACATCTCCTAATATGTCATGCTCTATCATTGTTGTTTGTTCTTTTAGCAGCTATCTCCATTTATGTCTTAGTGATTGTTTTTTTTTTTTTTTAACAAAGAACTGACAGGAAAACACAACAGAAGTAATAAGTGTTTGAAAATGTAGTTAATCCTTATTTGAGTTCTTTAAATCACAAGATGCTCAAGAATCAAGTTGATCACTTAGCACTTATAGGCACAAGCTTACAAGGACGGCTGCTAATGGATGTCTGCTTCAGTTTCTTTCCTCATGCTGCTCCATGTATTCAGGTCAGATATTAGTGTAGCTCATTAACACTGGAAAAATGCAATTCAAATGATAAATGTTCAGCATGTTTGCTGCAAACTGCAAACTGCTGCCCTTTTTCATCAGCCTGTAGTCTCAGTTATTGTGGGAAAATATCCTTAAATGCCTCGAGTTTGATGGTAGAAAAATGCAAACCATTCCCACAAAGCAGTAATTTTCCTTCATCACTTAGCTCTTCATCAATTATGGAAGGTCAGCCCAGTCCCAGGAATTCAGTGGCTTGTGTTTGCGTTGCATAACTGCCTGAAGTCAACGGACTGTGTGAACTGTGTCTTCCTGTGTCCCTGTGTCCCTTAGACGTTTTTTTTTTTTCCTGCAGCTGCAGCACTGACCTTGAGAAAGGGTCCAGAATAACCACAAAGATGCACTTGGGTTCTATAAGCATGACCATTTATGTATTTTAGTGTAAGCTTTGCTTTTGGACATTCTGCAGAGATTTGTTATACAAAATTTCATTGTATATTTCAATTAGAGTAAAAATTCTGACATCTGCTTTTTGCCTTTGTGCTATTTCTGTAAGCTATTTTATGTGCAGAAAAGAAAGGTTAAGGGGCTCATGTTATATCTGTTTTAGTGTTCTGCACGTGTGGGTTTAGGGGGTTGGTGAGGGGGGGCGGTCATTGGAGTACAATGAGTGCCTGGGATTAAAGAAGAGGAGCGTTAACACTGCAGCTGTCAGCCTTCTGTTTCTGAGCGTGGTCACTTCACTGGACAGTAGCCTTTAAAACCAGCATGATCACCTTCTAATACCAAGAGATTTTATTTGTGCTACTTAGTGTGCATCACTGTGCTAAAAGTGTGTGTATTCTTACAAAAAAACCTTGATTTTAATAAAGAGATAAAGAAAATGTAACCAGCAACTTAGCTAATAATGTAATAGAAGAATTGCTCCTATGCTTTTATTTCAGTTTCTATGGAAACAAACATTTATCAAGTTTCATTAGGTTACCTTAAAAAGAGGTGTCTTCTGTTTAAATCGCCCTTATTTTAATTCTTTTTGTAAGTCATACACTGTTTTAGCATTTTTTTACACTCAGATGCCCATTGTCATTCCCAGGTGGCGATCAAGTCGATCCGAAAAGAGCGCATTATTGACGACCTGGATCGAATTCACATCCAGAGAGAGATTGAGATCACCTCCTCACTCAGACACTCCAATATTATACGCTTCCATGAGGGTAAGACTCATCGATACATCCATCTATGGATATCACACAATCAACCTATCGAGGAATGGAGATATAACTGCCAATAAACACAAATGTAACTTAAGCCATTCTTTAAAAAATATATTTTTTATCAAAAGGCTATCTGGTGTATTTAATAAAAAATAAACCCTTTTTTAAATAATTACTTAAATTAAATAAATGATTATCACTTCAAGTCTATACATTCTACAATCACAGCGTACATAGGAAGTTGACCCAGAAGGCGTCTCCATTAATCTTATTTTTTAACACTCTGTAAAATAGAATGCTGTAACAAACAGGCCAGCAAATACATTGTTAAACTTCACAAACTATTTTAATCTGAAGATTTCCCATTTAGTATCCAGAGCTGGAGTTAGATTTCATAGATGTCATTTGAGCTCCATAGAAATACCCAAAGGAAACTACTGCAGTTAATTTCTGTATATGTTCTATGAAAATTGGGTCAAAAGGAAACAGATAAATCCTTCTTAATTTATGTCCTAAAAATCTGGAAAGGAATCATGAGAATATGTGGGACTCCTGCCTGTAAAATGTTCCTCATGTCCTGTGTTGACAGTGTTCGAGAGTCGGGATAAGATCGTGATAGTGATGGAATACGCCAGCAGAGGGGAGCTGTACGACTACATACAGGAGAGGAAGCGGCTGCCAGAAACAGAAGCCAGAAGCATCTTCAGACAGATTGCCTCTGCTGTCCATTACTGTCACAAGGTTAGACAAACATATGGTCTGAAAATGAGCCCCAAAAAATTGCGTGTAAACTAGGGCACACGTGCTGAGTATTCAGTTTAGCATTAGTAAATACCGTAATACTAAACCCATTTAATCCTAATCATAATACTTTGGTGAAACCTGACTGTGGTTTTCAGAGCTCTCTGGGTTAGGAGCACATTAGGCTCTGATTGCTGTTTGTAGTCACATATTTACATATTTACCAGCCTCCTTTATGAATTGGTGGGGAAGTAAATCCTTCTTTTCCGTTGTTGATGTCAACATTGAATTATCAGCTTTGCCAAAAAGCAGGAATTAATGATGAAATGCCTAAGTCCTGTTAATACTCAGCAGCAGCTGCAAATTACAGTCAGTTGAAATAGAAGAAAGAAATATACTATTTTATCTTTCAGCTTATTCAACTTAAATCAACATCCAGCTTCTTTGGTTTGCTGGGAGGAGGGATTTTTTTTTCTTCATCTCCTGCTACTCTTAAGTATTTTCTCAAAATAGTAACAAATGTTCTGGCTTGAATGAATTATTGATTGTGCTGCAAAGGTATGCAGGGCACACTGAGATATTTCCAGTACTTCCACTGTTTTCCTTTAATACAAAAAGGCCAAGGGAACTAGATTACAATCTTTTCTTTTACCCTTTTTGTTTTTCCTTGCTTACAGAAACAGATATACACAGACTCAGACAGAAAACACGTTCTAAAAAAACATATAATAAAGTGCACTGAGGAGGATAAAGCAAAAATAATATCTTTAAAGTCTTTTAAAGAGTGTCTATTAGGGTTTTATCTCTTCCCCTCAATCAATTTCAACTCATTATCTGCGGAAATATTAGATCATTTAGCAAACCTTTTCTCTAAAAAGATCTGAATGGTTTTCTTTCCCCTAAACTTTTTAAACTTGTAGCTGATGTCCTGGCCCCTGTTATGGCCCCTGTACTGAAAACATAATACTCAAAGAAATTCTAAAGATCATATGCCCTGCAACAGACATGGTTACTGATAGGTCCTTTGGATCTATTTCATTTTTTTCTTTACAAATTGTATTTTATTAACTATTTAAAAAACAATAAGGCGATAGCTTAGATCATTGAGATATGATCCTAGTTTTCATCTGCTAAATGTTTTTTCAAAACAAATTAATAACATACTCAAATTTTTTACAGCTGAATTTAACAGTTTTTCTTAAATTCTAATTCAAATTTTATAGAAAACTGTAATTTCATCTTAAATTAAGTCATAGATATATAAAATTCAAAAATTCTGAATGTATATTTACATAAAAAGACATTTAGAATTTTAATGAAACTTAATTGAATAGAAGTCTCACTTCATGCAGCTATCCTGTTTTTTTATTTCATGCTTTTCTGTGCCCCCATGAAAACACGCTGACCCCCTCCTGGCCCCCCTGGTACATTTGGTCTAGAACCGCCACTGCTCCTCTGCCCTCTGTTAGCATGAATGAGGAGACTGAGGGATCATCTGATTCAAAAACTTAAACACCTCATATTTCCCTGTCATATTAACCTACCTCCATATCCTCATGCTCCGTCTTCTTGTGCAGAACGGTGTCGTGCATCGAGACCTCAAGCTGGAGAACATCCTTTTAGATGAAGATTTAAATGTCAAGGTAAGACTTCTAAAATTAAATTTAAAACAATCCTTCATTCTTGAAATTAGCTTAAAGCATAACTGTTTATATAAACATGACATGATTGTCATTAAAAGCCATAATGAATTAAGCTGGCTCAGCTTTCCTAAAAAGGTTAGAAGACAAGTTGGCATTTTTACATTAAAAGAAGTCTGCCCACATTAAGTGTAATGTTTTTATTATTCTAGAGTGAACATGGTGCATAGTCTCTTATTGTGACCCAGGGGATATTTTTTACCATGCCTGAATAATAATGGCCTTATATGGGAGCTGTGCATGTTCTAAGAGGAACGTGGAGAATGTGGCTGCAATCTGGGCAGACAGTTAAATAAATAATGTTAAAAAAGCCCTATGTGCTGACTTCCTAGCCGCTCGTCATTCACTACCCACCTAAACAAAACAAGTTCCCCGCACTGATGACTTTTGCAGGAAATGACCAAGATTTATGTGTTTGTTTTATGTCTCCACAATAGAAAATGCTTGATGGTAGGTGAAAGAAAGCAGAAACAGTGGAGCATGTTTCACAGAACTTTGGGACTGTGTCAGTTTATACTGTGATTCTATGGTTATGCTATATGGCTCAACCAAGTGGGAGATAAGAAAAACATGTAAATTATAATCAGTTTGATCATTTTCCTGCTGTGAAAATGTGGCACAAATTATCTTTCAAGACAATTTTGCAAAACAAAAACATTTCAGAACAATTTGAAAAACTATTTTATTTGCATCTGACACTTGATAAATTATTTGACACAGTCACGACTTGCAGTATACTTTGCAAAAAGCAACAGCCTTCTAGTAAAGTGCAGATTTTACACAAATTTTATTTTATGACTACAACTGATTTGTACTCAAAAAGGAGATTTATATTAGAAACATTAAACATATTTTTTACCTAAGTTGGAATTTGGACTACGAAACTAGGAGGTTTTAGAGTGACCCTTTCATTCTGCACCACACCAGACATTCTTAAGATGTTTTAATTGTTAATTGTTTTGATGAAAAATGTGTAGCTATTACCTTAAAGGCATACATCTTAAATCATACTTTTTTTATTACTGCAGAGAAAAAACTAATGCAAATATTATATAAAAGAATATTTACTTCTTAATCTTATTCCGATTTTGACTATAGTAATATTGTTATGTTAGAGCTGAGCTAGATGTTTAAGCTCTCTAAACTCTCACATTTGTTTATGCATATTGTCTGAAATCATTTCTATAGCGACTGAAATGTAGGGGCCAAAGTCTTGGATGGACATGCATCACAAACACACATTGTTATTGCCACTGTAAAATAAATAACGACCTCAGAGCCACGTTGCTTACACAGTGTCACCTTCTGTATATAGGTCTCTTATGTTGTGCTCCTCCATGTGATGGAAAAAATGTTGTCATGTATTTTTAACACCAGAGCTTCTGATAGAGGTCTGCTGTGCATGTGAATAATCTCTTCAGATAAAGTCATGGCACAGTACGTGTGGTTATGTCTCCTTGCAGCCTGGAGTGAGTGATTGTTCCGTTACGTAAGCGTGAAAGCAGCACCAGCCTAATGTTTTTGGCTCTTCTCTTGTCGATGCTTGCACAATAAACTGACTAAACCTTCAGGCCTATTTTTGGATCAGTTAAAATAGCCATGAGTTCTTGTGCATTCAGAACATGACTATAAATTTGCAGAACATAGTAGCTTTAAAGGGATCAAGATTATGAGTGGAGACTTGGAAGAACTATTTAGTTTAACCAAAAGTTAAATTTGGTTGCCATTAAATTAAGTATTATGTGCTGATGTCAGTTGTTTTAACAATGTTATTTTGTTTTTGCGGTGTGCATTAGTAGTAGGGAAGAATATTCAAAGTTCTAACTAAAATATGTTTCTTTGTTTGCTTTTTTTCTGCAGCTGGCTGACTTCGGGCTTTCCAATAATTTCCAAATAGGCTCCCTGCTGCACACCTACTGTGGAAGTCCTCTTTATGCTGCACCAGAGATAGTGAAGGGGCTGCCATACACAGGACCAGAGGTTAGTTAGCCAAAACAGTAGCTAAACAGCTCATGCTCCTGTGTGCTTGGAGTGTCTGCTTCTCTGCCTTAGTTTTCCAAATTAATTTATGATAAAACAGTAGAATAGAAAGTCAATTTCCTTGATAGATGAAGCTGTCGTTTTTAGCTTTGGCATTTCTAAGATGGAAAAAAGACAGTCCATTCTTCTCTTCCTATGCCTGAGGAAAACGTTTAAAATACACTATATTGCCAAAAGTATTTGCTCACCCATCCAAATTATTGGAATCAGGTGTTCCAATCACTTCCATGGCCACAGGTGTATAAATTCAAGCACCTAGGCATGCAGACTGTTTTTACAAACATTTGTGAAAGAATGGGTCGCTCTCAGGAGCTCAGTGAATTCCAGCGTGGAACTGTGATAGGATGCCACCTGTGCAACAAATCCAGTCGTGAAATTTCCTCGCTCCTAAATATTCCACAGTCAACTGTCAGCTGTATTATAAGAAAATGGAAGTGTTTGGGAACGACAGCAACTCAGCCACGAAGTGGTAGGCCACGTAAACTGACGGAGCGGGGTCAGCGGATGCTGACGCGCATAGTGCGAAGAGGTCGCCAACTTTCTGCAGAGTCAATCACTACAGACCTCCAAACTTCATGTGGCCTTCAGATTAGCTCAAGAACAGTGCGCAGAGAGCTTCATGGAATGGGTTTCCATGGTCGAGCAGCTGCATCCAAGCCATACATCACCAAGTGCAATGCAAAGCGTCGGATGCGGTGGTGTAAAGCACGCCGCCACTGGACTCTAGAGCAGTGGAGACGCGTTCTCTGGAGTGACGAATCGCGCTTCTCCATCTGGCAATCTGATGGACGGGTCTGGGTTTGGCGGTTGCCAGGAGAACGGTACTTGTCTGACTGCATTGTGCCAAGTGTAAAGTTTGGTGGAGGGGGGATTATGGTGTGGGGTTGTTTTTCAGGAGCTGGGCTTGGCCCCTTAGTTCCAGTGAAAGGAACTCTGAATGCTTCAGCATACCAAGACATTTTGGACAATTCCATGCTCCCAACTTTGTGGGAACAGTTTGGAGCTGGCCCCTTCCTCTTCCAACATGACTGTGCACCAGTGCACAAAGCAAGGTCCATAAAGACATGGATGACAGAGTCTGGTGTGGATGAACTTGACTGGCCTGCACAGAGTCCTGACCTCAACCCGATAGAACACCTTTGGGATGAATTAGAGCGGAGACTGAGAGCCAGGCCTTCTCGTCCAACATCAGTGTGCGACCTCACAAATGCGCTTCTGGAAGAATGGTCAAAAATTCCCATAAACACACTCCTAAACCTTGTGGACAGCCTTCCCAGAAGAGTTGAAGCTGTTCTAGCTGCAAAGGGTGGACCGACGTCATATTGAACCCTATGGATTAGGAACGGGATGTCACTTAAGCTCATATGTGAGTCAAGGCAGGTGAGCAAATACTTTTGGCAATATAGTGTAACTCATATGCGTCAACTATTTAGGTCAAAAAGTCCACTGTGTGCCTTTAAATAAAATATACTGACAACAAATAATCACAGAAGTTGTGTTTTAGAATATGCTGAATATATTTTAAATCAACAAAAATGAATCAAGAAACTATTAATTCATTGCTTAACAATTTCTTACTAGACATCAGATCACAGTGGGGTACAGTATTCAGTTCGAATAGAGTTTGGGGCATCCCTATGAAGGCTTATCTGGGTGTTTATCATGGCTGAGTAATTTATTTTGCAAACAATATAATATAAGTGTGTGAAAGTTTGCGTTCATAGAATAAAAATTGGATCCAACATTAGTTGGTTACTTGTATATTTGAAACTTAGTACTATTGTTTCCCAGATACTTCAGCTACAATGAATCAGTCAGAATCAGGGTTTGGAAATGATAGGATTTTCACTATTCTCTTCAATTCTGTCAAACGATTCGATTCCTTATCGATTCTGCTACGTTTTATTTCTGCCTCCCTGGGCGAAAACAGAAGGAAGTGAACGGGAGCTGCCAGCCTCTGAGTCAGCCAGGCTACGCGTCTTGTCACAGTCATCTAAATCTAATGGAGAAGTCATCCGTTTAATGAAAAAGCCTTTCTGTACAATTTCGGGAAATAAACTCATCTCCCCCTGATTTAAATAAACGTGCGTTACCTTTCTCTCGCTCCCTGAACTGCGGAGCAACTTCGTAGCATGTTTAATAAGCCCAAAGAGAGGTAGGAAACTGGATTATTTCCAGAAATGGCATATGATTTACTAGGAACCGCATCAGGCACAGCCAATGATATAAAACTAGCTACTTACCACCAGAGTTGGCTTTTATGCAGGTCGTAACTTTAGCTTCTGTCTGGAAGCATCAAAAACACGGCATTCGTCAAAATAAAAGGGCAAAAACATGGATTGATAGAAGAAAAAAAAGGTGTTCAAGCCACTAACAACCCTTTAACTGAATTGTAATTTTGAAGGTGTTGAAATCTTATATAGCTTATGGTTTTAGCTAAATACTTGATGTGTTTTTGTTGTGTTTAAGGTGGACTGCTGGGCACTAGGGGTGCTGTTGTATGCTTTGGTTTACAGCAGCATGCCTTTTGATGGGGCCAATCATGCTAAGCTGACAGAGCAGATCAGCCAAGGCCACTACCGTAGACCCAATCCACCTTCAGGTAAACCACTAAACAGTCAAAACTCTATTAAAAACCGCTCAAACATCTATCAGGTGTGCTTACTTTAAGAAGCTGTTGATCCGTTTCTCCCAGATGCCTGCGCCCTCATTGACTGGCTGCTAACAGTTCGCCCAGAAGAGAGAGCCACAATAGAAGACGTGGCCCACCACTGGTGGGTAAACTGGGGCTATGAAGAGAGTGTTTGTGACTGCCCCACATCTCCACATCAGGAATGCCCTTCCCCGCTGCTGGCCCGCTACATTGACTGGCAGAATCAGGTTGGCACTGCGAGTCATATGGCAGCTGATCCTGGAGCCATAAGCCAGACTTTGGACTCCTCTTGCTGTCCTCAACCTGCGTCAAAGTCTTTTTACTTCAATTTCCCTGTAAAAAATGACTATGAAGAAGGAGCCAGGGTTCGTGGAGGGATTTCAAACCTCAGAAAGTCACGCAAGGAGAATGCAATCCCACAGAGTGCAATGGGAGCCTGTGCTGATGTTTGTTCATCAACTGTCTCTTCTACTCCAATGGCTACCTCAACACCAGAAAGAAGAAAACCTAAAGGTATACTGAAGCACACAGGGGACACCGAGGGCCGACGCAGCCGCCCCTCTAGTGTGGTCAGCGAAGACAGCTTTTACTCTTCGGATTCCTTCGATCTGTTGGACTTCAGCACTCAGTCACAACGCAGGGTTTTCTCTCAGGAAAGGCAGCAAAGTAGCTGCATCTCTGGAGAGAGCCTGGGGCAGATAGAAACAGAGACAGGCAGAATTGAAGGAGATAAAGGAACTAAATTCTAAATATGAATGATCTCTGTAAATTTTACCCATCATGTAAAGCAACATTTATGATGGTACTTGCTTGTATGACCATCAACACAGGAGATTCTTTAATCTACTGTGTGGATGAGATGAAAAGTGAGATGAAAGTGAGCTAATTTCATCTCATCCACACAGTAGATCCTTTCCTAATGTATAGAAAGCATGTGAAAATAAAATGTGAGAACAACAAAATGTTAGTTTTTAACTATTTGTAAACTAAAGTTACCTACTGTGGGTGTTAAGTTCAGATGTTTACAGTGGTATATATATATATATATATATACATGTGTGTGTGTATATAGGATGCAAATTCTACTAAACTGACTTTAAGTGTCAGATTTTTATGCACAAAGGTTGTTTTTTACTTTATAAGCCTTATGTGAAATAAATTGGTTCTGGCACACCAATAAGCAGACTAAGGGCACTTTTTTTGTTTATGTGAAAATACTTGCCTTATTACAGCTTCAACTTTCATTTAATATTTCTTCTTCCTGTATCTACTAAACAAAGATGGTGTGATGGATTGGATTATCATTTCATTCATGACAAGAGCTGCATATTCAGCTACTATGAAGTAACTTAAAGATAATTTCTGCTTTATTCAGCTGCCAAAACCTAGGAAACCGAATTAAGCTGTAAAAGGAGAGTGTTGCATCCTCTAACACCTTTATTTATTCCTTACAGTGTTGACTTTGTGCAATTTGCTTATTTGTACCTACACAGCTGTATCAATTGAACATTGCTTTATTTTGCTGTGACTGCATCTATGCTGCTGGGAATGCTTTAGGTGATATGTGCAAAAGATGTTTTAAATTGAAAGTGTTATGCTTGACAAAAATAAGGTTATTCCTTATGTTGAATTATTTTGTACTTGTTCTGCAATGGTAAATAAATTATTTGAATAATAATGTGTCAAACGTTCTTGTTTTGGTGAGAAACCAGGAAAAACACATCTCTTAACAATAAATAATAAACCACAAGAAAAAGAATAGAAATCAAACCTCCCATTTTCATTTTACTATTTACTTTTCAGTTTCCCCATAAATCTTGCTTGCTTTACTCTGGCTCGTGTTTTTGAGTAATATGCTTAGGTTAGTTTGTCATTTTATTTGGAGAGAGTAACCACATGTTTAAGAAAACTGGGAAAAAGTAATAGAATGGCCTTATACAACAATGAATGCGTTTTTTTATTCTGTTTTTTCTAAAATTGAATAAATTGTATAAAGTCTTACCTTCTAGATCTGCGAGATCTTAAAGAGTCATAAAATGTTGTAAATATGGTATATCATTCTAAGCATTTAAAACGGTTAAGTATGTTTATTTTTATACTAGGCCTTAAGATACATTAAGCCCTGAACAAGATTAGCAGCTATAGACTTTTAACTATTGATAAAATACCAGCCTCTGTGGTGCAGAAATATATTAAGAAATATTAATATCAATTTATCAAAAGTTGTTACCTGAGCGACTTGCATAAATTTTATGTTTAGAGTGAGTCTTATTCTATTTTTCACTGCTATTTTCCTTTACATGGGAAAATCAATTTTACAGTTTCTCTAAATGACTCATATAGCAACTCATTAGCTTCTAAATGAAGGTTATAATACTATAAGAAGGCATTTCAGTTTGACATCAAAATATATGACCTGTTCTACCTCCCACAATGTAAGGAAAAAAATTGTTAGGAACGTGTTGATATACAGCAGGTAAAAAATGCCCTTATCCTATATTGCTGTTCTTCTATGAAGTAGAGAAAAGATCAACTAGTGCACTAAATTCAATAGATGGGATGAAAATATACAACATAAAATACAAAATGTTTTATGAAAGATTTCCAGGGCATGAAAGAAACTGTGCACACAAACATTGTAATTGGAAATGGAAGAACCTGCAACATATTTTCATATCTCTACCTGTGAGTGGCTGGAGGTGAGGAGGCCTTCAGTAAAGTGAAGATAATAAAAAACTATCTGGGCTCTAGGATGTCCCAGGAAAGGTTCAATGGTCTGGCAATGCTGTCCATAGAGCATCAGCTTGCCAAGAAATTAGACTTTAAAGACATCATAAATGACTTCGCCACTAAAAAAGTTAATCGTTTTAAAACATTTCTGCAATATAAATGATAATGATTTTTTAAAAATAGCATATACTGCATCTTCTCTGCTCCAAACACTTTAATTTGGCAAATAAAAAACTAATAAAATCAACTAAGTTAGGGTTAAACGATTTTGCCAAAACTCAAAATTGTGATTATTTTAAACCAATATTGCAATTGTGTTTTCATTGCCATTTTCCTTTGCACTAAGCTCAAGCATGTTGATGTTTTACTCCTGAGTTTTAGTTTTCTTCATGACCTTGAAAAGCCTGCTTGCTCAGAGTCCATGGTTGCAGGACTTTACCGTAAAATTTGCATAAAAACATTCTTACTTCCAAAACAATGCACAGATCTAGGTGCTATCTGCAACTATCTCTTCCCTTCTGTGTGACAGTATACCCACTTTAATCATATTACCGCAACCTGGCTTGAGGGAGAAGTTTAATGTCTTACTGTTGTTAAATGTATTGTGACTCAAATTGAATGCCTCTTCAATTTGAAAATAATTGCCCAAACCTAAACTAAATAATTACATTTATCAAAATGTATATCTGAAGCATCTGTATGTCTGATGCAAAGTTACAGACTTTTGAAATATGTGCAAGATACCACCTTGGACTGGCATTACAGCTAGCTGTAATTCCAGCCTTCTAATTTGAAAAGCTTATGGTATTATACAAATATTTACCTTCATCACTCAATAGAGGATAACTGAATACTAGAAACTTCAAGTATGTAAGTAGTTTGAGGGCCCCTTGATCTCACTAACAATTTCCCTAAGAACCAGAGACTGTGGGCCAAGGATTTTGAAAATCATTGCAAATATCTGCAGTAATTATAAATACTTAGCAAAGTAAATCTTGTAGGCTAAGAGGCTTTCTGCTTTCTTGCCTCACGTGAGAATTCAAGTAATACACAAAAAGAAAAACATTCCCGGTTTATAGACAGCTTTAAGAGGCTCAAGGCAGCGGAGTTCGTTGGCATTAGGAAGGACACATCATCCATTGCTCTTGTGTTCTCTACAAGTTCATATTCCATAGACAATAAATAAAGAAGTCCCTATTTAAACTGTTAAAAAGTTAAAGAAAGGACAAAACTAACAAAACTGGGAAATGTTACATATTAAAATGTGTTTTAGTTGGGAATTTACACTATATTGAAATACATTATATGGTTAAAAACTGAGACTATATCTTAGAATGAAGTAGGGTAACCATATATGGATTAGCAAAGAGGACACTTGACCTAGTTATAAAAAACTGATTAATTCATTTGCTTTGGTTAGAAACAAAGGTTAAAAAAAATTCAACGTTCACATGTCAGCAAGTAAAAAAGTGACTGAAATCTGATAGAAACCATGCCTCCTCTGTATAAGGAAATAAATGTATGACATGACCAATGTTTTAGACTGGATACATACAAGTCAGAAATATTCAGAGAGGATATGTTTTGTAATCCTTTATTTTTAATGAAATAACTAAAAGAAAAAAAAAGGGAACAGTCTACATCAATCATCCTATTTTTTTCTTTTATCCTCCTTTTCTCTCATCCGTATTTTGTTGTAGCGCTGATCTTTCCTAGAGGTTTTTGAATGCGTAACAAATAAACATGAAAGTCTTTTAAAAACAAGAAATCGTTTTTAAAATTACTGGACAATCCTGATTAGTGACTCAACAGAAAGCTGTTTTCTGCCCTTGCTTCACTTGCTCTCTGTATCAGTAGGTATGGCTTCTTCACATTTGCATTGAGAAAAGGGAAGTGGAAGGACAAACTGCAGTCTTCAGTGATTGTGAGTATCGGCATGCTTACAAAACAAGCACAAGGGGGCAAGAGAGGATAATTAAAGAACTCAGTACTGGTAGAAATAATACAAAGACACAGAACACAAACTTAAAAATAAACCAAGCAGAGGGAAGAACCCTGAGTCTTTCTTCTTTTTTGCATTAAATGGAGATTACACCCTATAAAAAAAAGGACCAGGTAGAACAGTTTTACAATTTTTCTATTATTAGTCATGTCCTTTAACACGCAAAGTTAAAACATTTAACTGACTATGATGCAGTTAGGTATGTAGGTGGGCCTATATATATCAGTCATGCATGCTCTTTAAGTCTTTTAGGCTACGTTCACACTGCAGCCTGAAGTGACTCAAATCTGATATTTTTGGCCCATATGCAACCTGTATCTGATCTTTTAATGGCTGTCTGAACAACACAGATCCAATTTTTTCCAATGTGACCCAGGCCACTTGGCTATGTGGTCCTTAATCCGATACGAATCTGATCTTTTCAATTGCGACCTGTGTCTGAACAGGTCGCATTCATCCGACCTGAACCCCATTAATTCCCGACAAAGGTCACTATTCTGTTTCTTGCTATGAAGAAACGGCAAGAAAAACAACAACCATGGCAGACAATGATGTGGAGAGCAGCATTTATGTTTAACCATATTGAAAAGATTGTGTTTTAATGGTTGGGAAAGATCGCTAGATGCGCTCCGGCACTACCATCCATGTTTACTTCCGTAAACACAGAGCACGCTGGCCTGTGACATCATTGCATCCTCTACTGCGCATGCTGGACACATGCATTGTATGACTGCACTTCACATAGGAGATCACATACATGTCGCATATATTTGGAAATGTGAACGGCAATGCAAAAAAATGTTGATGTCTAGAGACTGAAACATAATTTTTTCCATGTCTCACTTGTGTTGAACAAAAGAACTCACACACTGACATCCCACTTTTTATTCAAACAGAACCTTTTTTCAGTCTATAATTTTAATATATACAAAAAGTACATAGCAAATATAGTTTTGTTTTTAGCGTTAATCAAAAATAGGTTTTAATAATAAAACATTACTGAAATATGAAGGGTAAGAGGAAGCTGAGTTACTACCATTATGTAGAACATATTCATGCAAATAAATCTTCACTTAAAACTATTAAAGGTCCAATATTATTCTATATTTGAGAATAAAAAAATATTAACAATTCGGCCCTCAGAGCATGTTTTTGCCATTTGTAGAGGAAAATTCTTTTCAGATTAGGCAGTCATCCTTTACCAAACATCTTTTTATTAAGCCCTCCTCTGGGCGAGCTCTTTTACTTTCCCCACCCCTGCGCTCCCAAAGGCAGTGTCCCCACAACCCACAATAATGACAACCAGTCAGTTCTTACAGATTGCCTAGGAGAGTGGAATGATACATTAGACGAAGACCATAGCTTGTCTGCTGGGCTGCAACATATTTCCTCTTATGACATCATAAGGGGAAATTTTTCAAGCAGACCATTTTGAGCAAAAAGCTAAGAGGTGGACAAAGGCAATGATAGAGGTGAAAGGATTTTTTCCTGTTGTGAATTCCATACACAGGCTTCAGGACTCATTTGACTGTTACAAAATGTTTAAAATGAAGATTTTTCATAATATTGGACCTTTAAGTAATTTATATGTGTAAAAAAAAAAACAAAAAAAAAACTTAAAACCCACTTTAATCACGAGACTGGCTAAAATGTATTTTTTTTCTTTAAAAAACTGTCTTAGATAAAATCGAAACAAAACCCAATTAAAAAGAATAAATGCATATATCTATAAAGGGATATAAAGATATATTTTCTATAACAAGCCTCCTAACAGCAGTAATTACATTCTAAAATAAAACCTTATCCTAATGAATTTTATTCTATTCTAAATATAGATAACACCACAAATCAACACCTTCACTTCAGAGGAAAATGTCCCTTAACATCAAAGCTCAACAAAAACATATCTTTCCCCTTTTGATTATAGTCCCCAATACCAAGTTTATTAAGTGGAATTTTTATAATTATGGGCACGTCACATTTTTTACTTCATCCCATTATGCAACAGAAAACAGGATTGCTTGTATTGAGAGTCTAGAGAACACTCAAGAAATAGAAAAGCATTTGTGGCACGCTCTTCTATGGCTAAGTGATACATTTATTGATTGATCAATCCAATTTGCTGTCTCTGAATGATTATGATGTAATATTTGAAAAATATATATATTTTTGTCACCAATTTCCATGCCATTGGTATCATTTGCTTACTTTTTGCTTGTTGATGTCATTAGACTCAAAACTATTGAGTTTTTATCACCATTTAGAATGAATTTTTTTTTTTATTGTTGTAACTGTACTTTTAACTGTATGTGAAGCTATAAAACATGGCAGATTGTCATCCATTGTTCTGGCCTTATTCACATTACCCAGCTGTTAGGGGTATGAATTAGCAAATCAATATCTATAAAAACGTATTAGTAACAATTAGGAAATTAATAATGATTGCCTTAAAATAGCTGTTCTGCTGCTGTCAAATACAGCTCAAAGAAAAGCAGCACTTATGCATTGATCATTCCGTCATGTATCTTCTTATATTTCTCGAAGTGAATTTGGTCAGCTTTCAGAGTCTCCTTAGTCGTCTTCTTGCAGTAGATTCTGATTATTTTCTCGCTGAATGTTCCTGGAAGAAGGTTAGAAACCTAAAAAGTAAACAAGAAATATTGTATTAAATGGAGGAATGAAAATTGTTAAGGAAAAGAGCTTGTATAAATTCCCTACAGTTTGAGTATAGCATAAATAAAAATTGATGCAGATTCAGAATCTACAGATTGGAAGATTTAAAATTTTACAGTGCTATGTTTTATTCATACTTGATTTTTATCCAGTTTGAAGGGCTTTGTTGGATTGTCCTTTTTGTAGAACCACACATGCTCTATTGGGTCCTTTTCCTTCATCCCATAGTTTATTTCTTTTACCTACAAAAGAATGAAATTTAGGTCAGCAAATACAATAAATAACGCAAAAAGCAATTCAATTCCTGGGATTGAATTACAACTAGAAAACAAATGTTAATCTTAGCAGAATTGTCCTATTTACATATGTAGATATTCTGTCTAATGTGAAAAATTGTAGATAAAAACTTACATCAACGACAAAGTCTTCTGGCTGCAGATTTTCGGTGCCACCTTTGGGGTTGTTTATTTCCAACTGTTCCCATCTGTTTTTTATTCCCTTTAAAATAAGTGGAGCATTTACTATACAACAGGTGAAATCTAACTAAGTATTGAACACACAATTTTTCTCTGTAAATATATTTCTAGAGGTGCTATTGACGTGACATTTTCACCAGATGTCATTAACAATCCATACAATCCACACATAGAAGAGTTGTCCAACAATTGCTTCAAAGAAAACAATAATAAATGCACTCAGCCACCATGGCTGGTATGCATGCTCGCCATGCAAGACTCCATTGCTTAAGAAAAAGCATGATGAAGCTTGATTAAGGTTTGATGCACAGCATTTAGACAAGCCTGTGAAATACTGGGAGAATATAGTCTGGTTAGATGACGTAGGGCTGTTTTTCAGCACTTCAAATGATTGAAGGAGGGATGAATAGAATAATGTACAGAGACATTCTTGATAAAAATCTATTGCCATTTACCAGGATGATGAAGGTGACATGTGGATGGACATTTCAGCTAGAAAATGACCCCAAGCACACACACAAGGAAACTTAATTGGATTCAGTAAAGGAAAATAAAGCTGCTAGAATCACCCAGCCAATCACTTGACATGAATCCAATAAAAAAATCTATGGAATGAACTAAAGATCAGAGATCATAGAAGAGATTTGAGGATTGTTCGTGTGGAAGAATGGGCCAAAATCAGACCTGAGCAATGCATGTGATTAATTTCTCTATACAGGAGGCGTCTTGAAGCTGTAATTGCTACAAAGGCTTTTGTACAAAGTATTAAATGAATTTCTGTAACTGTTGAAAGTGGACTAATAAAACTGTGTTTATCAATTTAAGAGCAAAGGAAGCCATCTGAATAATGTTTCCTCTGATTGGTCCATTGTAATTTTAAGCTGCCAATAGCCGTTGCTGTTGTAAGAGTAGTTCAGTGTTAGATGAGCAGAAAGTTGACGAAGTAGCCTAATCGTTGGAGACCATTTAGAACTGTTTGTTCAAGAACCTTGGAGTGTTTAAATGAATAAAATAACTTTGTCAGTACACTAGCAAGATTTGTATATCTGTGCAACTTAAATATATATAGCAATTTAAACAGTATGGGGTTTGTGATTTATTTGAGGCCTCTTGCTGCCACCTGCTGGACAAATTAGAAATGACTATTTATGGCGAGTGAAAATTATAGTTTCCAATTGTTTCTTTTTTCTGTATTTCTTGTAAACCACTCTCAGCTCTATTAAATAGCGTGACCAAACGTCCATATTTCCCAGGACATGTCCGTATTTCACGTCCTGTTTTTTTTGAGAAAGTGAGGAAATGTCCTGTTTTTTTAAATTACCTTCATTGGACCATTAAATTTACAGGCACTAGGGCACTGCGCATGGCGCTGCGTGTGATGTGATCCCTAATCAGAATATAGATAACGCCAACAACATGCAAAGGCGCAAATGTTTGTTTACCGACGATTTACAAAATTTTCCCCGCTTTCAGACCGGGTCGAGACAAATGGGAGGCCTTGTGCACAGTGTGCAAAGCAGCCACATATGTCTCAGTGTCCAATGGAGGTGCAAGGAATCTCAAAAGCCACCTGGACACCGAAAGTAAAGATAGTCTATTGATATTTTTGTTCGTTTTTGGTACATTTTGAGTTATTTTTGCTACACAAGAGGTATTTTTTGTTAATTAGCTCATTTGTTAATTTATTTTTACCAATAGCCTACAGAACAGACATTATTTCGTTCATTACTGAGGCTGAGTATCATCTGTTATTGGGAGTAGTTAAGAGTTATTGTTAACTTTTATTGTTAAGTGAGGGATGTTTAGATGAGACATTATTTCTTTCATTGTGCTATTCATTCATTACAAGAATTGTTAAGCATTTTTACTAAATACATTTATTACCATCAACTGTTAATATCATGTTATTGTAGGATTACGTAGGCCTATGTTAAATGAGTGCATTCCACAGACATCTCTATGCATGGGAACAGAGATCCCCCCGCTCCAAGGTGTCCTGGTTTTTCAAAATGAAAATATGGTCACCCTATATTAAAGAAAGTTTGGACCTGAAGCTGTCCTCTCACCCTTTACCGGGTGCTCATGGTGGCTGTACAATTTGAAGAACTAATATTAAATAAAGGGAGCACAACAGTAACTGTGTTCAATACTTGTCGCTGCGTTATTTCACTTTATTAGTAATAAAGGGAAATGATTTTCTGGTATGTGTCGATTGCATGGATTGTTACCATATATATAAATATTAGTTCCAAGTTTCTGCTCCACTCCATCTATATCTTGTTCCAGTAGCCAATTTGTCATCAAGTTGCCCTGGTTCCCTAGCAACTGATGCGGACCTTGTTAACCGGGGCAACGTCCGAGCCCATATGGCTCTTGTATTTGCGGTTTCACTCATGCCTGAGGTAGGCCACTAAGCACTAAGGACCTTGCCTTTATCATGCCTAAGGGTGGATGTCCATGGCGGGAATCTAACTCACGATTACCTGTACCGGACTCGTCGGTGTTACTGTCAGATGTGGAAAGTAAGAGCAGCAGTGATGCCAGTGGTAACTGGAGCACTTGGGGTGTGACCCCCAAACTGGGAGAGTGGCTACAGCAGATTCCAGGTAAAACATCAAGGGCCTCTGTCCAGAAGAGCGCAGTCCTAGGAACAGCTAAGATACTGCGCAGTACCCTCAAACTCCCAGGTCTCTGGTAGAGGACCCGAGCTTGAGGATAACACATACCACCCCACGATGGGTGAGAAAACAGTTTATATATATATATATATATATATATATATATATATATATATATATATATATATATATATATATATATATATATATATATATATATATATATATATATATATATATATGTGCATGTATGCATGTATGTATGTGTGAGTGTCTTCATAAATATGAGTATTTACTTATACCCTGGGAAACTGATTTTTAGATTTTCCTACAGTCCTACTGAAACCAGGCATTCAAAACTGTTTAACCACTTAAATTTACCAATTACCAGGTAAAAGTAAGTTGTCTATATGTTCATGTAAACATTACTTCATAATGAACTTACTTATATTGTATCAGTATTTTCCTTTAATCTTTATAGACTTTCCTGCAAATCCAACCTTACTGTGTAAGAGTAAAACTAGGATTAGAAAAACAAAGACCTGCTGAGTTGTCAACATTTGAACTATCATGTACAACCCACATCAGCTGTCCAGCAACTCAAATGCTTACTTGAAGTTCTTTTTTGGATTTCTGAGAGATTAATTCTCCCAGACAGCTGTAGATGTCTCTGCGATGTATTCTCAGTAGTATGGCCTTTGCATCATCAAGTTTGCCTGAAGAGTCGTTTAGTATCTTTTCAAATACATCATCTAAAGGGCAAAAGGAAAGGGAAAAAAATAGGAACACACAATCAATTAGGCATGAAGGCAAATTCATTTCTAAATTTATTGAAATTTATTCACAGTATCCTAAAATGCAACTAAAGCCAATTAAATGATACCTAATTTATGCAAAGAACAAATAAACAGACAAAGAGATGGATATGGTTATCAATTTAATACCTGGTGTATTAAAAAAAGAAACTGACATGAAATGCACATTGAGCTGATTAGGGGTTTCTAATATTGAAAGAGCTTTGTTAAAATAATAGCAGTGAGCAGGTTTAATGCATGAGGTCAATGATTCCTTAAATAAAAAAACGAGGTAAATTTCTATCCTTTGCTTAAAACCAAGCTAATTTTGCACATGCTATTTGAAGTGCAAATTCTGGCTTAAATTCTGGTAGAAAAAGTTAGCTCTGAATATTGTTCAGAGGAACCATGTACTTACTAAAGTTGATTCAAAAGGGTAAAATAAACGATATAAGAAAATGACTGAATTGCTCTAATACTTTAAAATCAAATCCATACTAGAAATATAAGCAAGTGAATAGAAAAGTAAGTTAGATAAGATAATAGCCCAGGTGATGATCAGTCAGCTGCAGGGAGAGCAAAGTTACTTCAAAGTTCTGAAGCTACCAGCAGTGGGTGGAGTACCCCAAAACTATAGACAAGAAAAGGTTGCAGTACTTCATCAAGTTTTAACTGAAGTAAACGTTTAAAGTTGCTCTTCAAGAAATTACTTGGATAAGAGTAAAAGTATTAAAAGTATGAATAACTGCTCGACTGACAACTCATGATCAAAGCAACTGATTCAATACTTTGAAAATGATGTAAAGTAATGTAGAAATTATGGTGTTTCAAAGAATATGATGAAAAATAAATATATAACATACAGTTATTAAACAATTGTATGTAGAAGGAGCACCTCAAAATATTATCAAACCATTTCAGTTTATCAAAATCATTAAAGTATGTTGGAATAGGGTAGGTTACAGTTTATTTTTTACTCATCTTTTGAGGGACACAGCAGACTCAGATAGAAAATGAAGATTGAACGAAAATTTAGCCTGGAAGAATTTTATTCAGCCTAACCTGGAATGCCAACTGAAATGCCTAACTCAAGCTTCAGCCAATCGACGGAAGACTGTACCCTCTCCAAATTAATTTGTTTCTCAAGACACTCTTCATTGAGACGAAGGCCCAGCTTCCCCATTTAACGTTTCAGTTGAACTTTGACCCACCTCCACCGTCTCATCTTCCAGCTTACTCCATCAGTGTCCAGGGGTCCGGGGCATGGACTAGTCTAAGGCCCCGTCCACACGAAGTCAAACCCTGGCCTAAATTCACAAATTTTCACCAAACCAGCCTCTCATCCATACGAAGCCGGCGTTTTGGGGGTCTGTAAACAATCTTTTTTTTATTAAGCCTTCAGAGTGGGAAGATTTTGAAACACCGTTTTCGCGGTTCCATCTTTAAGCTCTGACCGCATTTTTTTCTTACACGCATGCGTCATAGCGTCGCCTCTAAACACGGATGCGCAACACAGTATCACAACAACAATGGCGCCGTACTGTGTTGAATGGTTGCTGCTAATGCTACTCACCCTGCTGTCGGGCTTACAACAGAATCTTCTTCTTCTGGAATATCTCCAGGAAGAAAAGAGCAATATCAACGACATAGTTCAGCATGCCCAACATTTCGTTGCCTGTTTTCGCCTATTTTTGCTTTGGCACCACAGCGCCACTTACAGGCCTGGCATACATTTTGCAGCGTTTTCATGCATTCATGTGGTCGATCACATTTATTTTACGTCTCCGTCTTTAAGACAAACGTTCTGGAAAATATTTGCGTTTAATGTTTGTTTTGACTTCGTGTGGACGGGGCCTATTACTCTTTAGTTATTCACTCAAGCTCATGTTAACTTAGTTTCACAGTGCCTTCTGCTGGGGTCCAAGTGCAAAATAATTTATTTCTTTCATGTCAATAAAATCTTTCTACGTATGAGTCTCTTCCACTTAAAATAACATCAAACCAATAAGGCTCGATCACAAGCAAGTAGGTGTGTCTCCAGGTGGCATTCTGGTTACATCACACTTGATTTCAATAAGTGGACTTACATTACTCACAACGGGAAGAGTAGCCAGAGTTTTTTTTCAAATGCGACCTGTGTCTGAACAGCCAGGTCAAATTCACCCGACCTGAATGTCATTAATACCCAACAGTGGTCACTCTTCTGCTCTTTGCTACGCAGAAGCAGCAAGAACAACAACAATGGTGAACGATAATGAGGAGAGTAGTATTTATGTTCAACCACCTGGGAAAGATTGAGTTTTTAATTTTGGGAAAGATCGCTAGGTGTTCTCCAGCACTGCCATCCATGTTTACTTCCGTAAACACCGGGCATGCTTGCTTGTGACGTCATTGCGTCCTCTACTGCGAATGCGAGACACTTAGGTTGTATGAGTGCAGTTCACACAGGAGATCACATACCAGTTGCATATATTTTGTAATGTGAATGGCAATGCACAAAAATCGGATTTGACAAAAAAATTGCAATTGAGCATCAAGGCCTGCAGTGTGAACGTAGCCTTTGTGAAAATAGATCCAACCTTAAACACTTTCACTATGGAAGTTTGAGGAAGTTGAGTTAAGTTGATAAGTGGCAGACTTTTTGGGGAAAACCTAAACTGCTTCTGACAGTTGGCACCCATTTAACAAAGTTCTTATCTCCCAAATGGTCCATTTTAGTAGATCATTATCAGATAATGAAGAAATACATTTTAAAAATATATTCCTCACTACAGAGGGCAACCATTATAATTTATTCCCCTTCACAATTTGATCATGTTGGGGGTTACTTCTCTGTGCACTGCTATAGACAGTAGCCCCTTTAAAAGTCACTATTATTTGGAAGCTGGCTTTCTGGTTTAATTTGGAGCTAGATACTTTAAAGCATATGATACTAGGGAACTATGTTTTGCATCTGTACACGAATCCTGCCTAATATGAAAACATTTCAACTGCTTTAGAAAACGACTCTTCATTAATAGAACAGAATAAGAATAATCCTATATATCTTTTTAAAACAGTTGCAAAACTCACAGAGAGCCAGACCTCTGTTGAACCATGTATCCCCCAAGCTCTTATCAGTTACTATTTTATGGTATTCTTTATAAAAACTATATATTTTATTGAACATAAGATTAGTGACACCCCCCTAATTAAGATTGGTTCTTATCTCAAAGGTTTGGCAGCATCAAATGTAACTATAGAACCTGAACTGTGATTGGACTGTTTTGATCTAGTTGAGCAACTACTTTGAGTAATCCATAAGAGATTAAATGTCTTGGATTTCTGCAATAATTAAATCATATGTGTATCTACCACAAATTCTCTGACATACAGCCTTATTGTGCTTCAATGGGGATTATCTGATCCAGTGTACCGTTACCCCATATAGCTTCTCTTGTTAGCACTTAGCAGACCAAATATCAGCAGCAGGGGAAACAAAGTCGAAATCTTTTAGCGCAGATTTTAGATTTCTCTCCACCTGTGCATACGCCATTTCCAGGTAAGATGAAAAAGATGTTCTTTGGTGCAGTCAATTTGACTGACATGTGAGATGACATGTGTTGTGAATTGGCACTATATAAATAAACTGAATTGAATTGAATGTTTGAGCTGGTTTTAAAAATCCATGTTTTGCCAGACCAACATATAAATATAACTTTTATTACAGTGTTGTAAGAGCTGACTCACCTGTCAGCTGAGTGTACTTTTCCATATCATCTATAGCTTCAGACAGGGACAGGTGCTTATCTGCTTCCAGGAAAGCGTCTGTGATCCTGAAGGAACATTGCAAATTGTAATGGTAATGATAACATTGCATGAAATACAAGGAGACACAGTTGCCACTGAGTTTCAGCAATGTCAGGGGTTTCTTACATCAACTCTATGCTGTTTTTCACTTTGTGCTGGAAGGCTCTTTTGTGTAAAGAGAACCTTGTGTAGAACATGTCATACAGATTGAACACGTCCTGTTAACGATAATCACAATGTTCAGTGGCACGTATTGTAAATCTGATTTTGAATATTGATAGGAAGGAAAAATCTCAACTAAATCACACCTTGTCTCTGTAACAGATCTGCCACTCTCCATCCACCTCACACGCCCTAGCAGATTTAATCAAACGCTCATGGTCAAAGCTGTTCTTCATACCCAGGTAATGGCAGTCTCTGTGATATTGAAAAGGAAACACACATTTAAAAATATGTTTATATTTAAGACAAGACACATTTAGTGTGTGAAATCATATAAAAAATCCCCACCTGGCAAAATAATCCCACTTATCTACATCAATCTTGTTCCTCTCGTTGGACACAATTTCGTAGAGGATGTAGCGCTTTTCTGAAGGATTTGAGGGTGGCCTCTACAGAAGAACAACAGAATCGTAAAGAATTAGTTATGAAGGATGCCCTTCATCTTTAGCGTATTGGAATAAAAGTTTCCCCCTAGTATGTTATATTTGTTTTGTTGGTTCTATATTTTCTTATCTTTCGTATTGTTTTGACTGCCTTTTTGTCTGTATTCTAAAAAGCTCAATAAAAATTGTTATAAAAAATATTGTAAACAATTATTGCCAGGTGTTTTGCCAAACACACAGACATATACAGAAGAAGATGAATATATTCAGATTAGGGCTGCTATTTTGCAAATGAATTAATCTTTCGATTATTTTTTAGATTAATAATCGGAAAACCAAAGGTTCCGTAAAGAAGATTTTTTTCGGAATTAAACCAGGTTAAAAATGGGCTGTACGCAGGGCCCAAAAAATACTGACGTCAAGAGTCATAACTTCTGGGTTGGTTCGGCAGCATGCTCCCCATGTTTTTGATTCCATTATTTAAATATGTCCATTATCAGAATCTTAAGGAGCAAAAGCATGATTGTGACTTTTGATAAGGCTTGGCTGTTCACGATTAATCTGATTAATTGTTTCAGCCCCGGTTTTAATGCTACGCTGGTTTTATATGGACCAGTCTATAACTCCGTGTCAAATTTTCTTAAATTTCCATAATATTGATCATACATTTTACTACCATTGCTTCCATAACATTCGAGGATTGTGGTGATGTTTAGTACTTTATCAATGTTGATTATATATGCTTGTAGAACAACAATAACAAAGTCATTCTAAAATGTTTATCAAAGCAAACAAGAAAGAAACCAAAAAGAAAACAGGCATGTTAGTAGAAAAAAAACAAAAAAAAAAACAGGTTGTATTAGGCTTAAAACTGTAAAGTTAGAATGTGTATTTTTTTTCCTATATTCCTATATTCTCTTTTTTACTTTATTATCGACTACCTGTTTAATTAAACAAACATTCATTGACAATATTTTTGCATTTTTCCCATTAATAGTATAGACGTAGCTGAGAGGGTTTGTGAAAGGCGCATTTGTCCCCAAGAGAAAAAAATATATTACGGTAAGAAAAAAAAAAAAATTGATTTCGACATTTCTACCTGACATGCTTTTATTCTGAAAGCGCAATGCAACTCGATGTCACTGGCCCCGCCTCCTTCTCCACCTGCTTTGAGTGGGGCAGGCACTGCTGCGCTATCAGCAACCCAGTCTCATGGGAAAATGTACCCCCACTACGTTGGTCCACACTGCAAAACGTAGTGGAGGTACATTAATGGCCATTTTTTTGTGGTACTGTTACGTTTCTTCTACTTATACGCTTTCTATTGTTTTACGTCCTAGTCACGTGACTTTCAAGATTCCAGGTGGGAGAAGAAAAAAATATATATATAGATGGCCGACATTCGCTCATTTTTTGTGGAAAGATTAATGACTTGAGTTTGTTTTTGCATTAAAATGAGTTTTGATTACATTTCTAGTGAGAAATGTATAGTTTGTTACCAGAATATTTACTCGGGGAATGTACATATTCACTTGCTTGTTCGTTTCTTGCAAAGATTTTTCAAGATAATGTGAAACTGTAACATTTTGGTATAAACATGGCTGAGATTTCTCTAACTTTTAGTGGGAAAATCAATAATTTCAATCAGTTTCTGCATTTAAATGGGTTTTTGATTACATTTATAGCGAGAAGTGTAGGGTTTATTTACATAATATTTACTTAGTGAACATACATAATCACCCGCTTGTTAGTTTTTGCTACGTTTTTCGGATCTCGTCAGGATTATGTGAAATTGCAACGTTTAGGCTGCTACACATCTCCTGTGATTTAACTCCATCTGACGGATCAAACCCTCGCCACTGCGGCGTTGCGTCTGAGGTTGGTTTTCAGATCAATGCATGACGTCGTGGTATACGGGAGAAACTAATTAAATTAGTTAAAAAAAGGATCATGGGTTAAGATCGGATGTGTTTTATTTGGAAATCTACCGGATCCTTTTTGCATTTCACTTCCTGTTTGGTGCGATCTCATTGATGGGTTTTGACCAGATTTTGACCAAAGAGGAACTAAAAAAAAAAAAAAAAAAAAACAATTTAAATACACAACCAGCATATCTGGAATCAATGACAGAGAGCATACATAATCACCCGCTTGCTAGTTTTTGCTACGGTTTTTCGGATCTCGTCAGGATTATGTGAAATTGCAACGTTTTGGCTGCTACCCATCGCCTAGCATTTAGCTGCCGCCCCGATTCAACATTGAATTCTTTGTGATTTAACTCCATCTGACGGATCAAACCCTCGCCACTGCGTGCGTTGCGTCTGAGGTTGATTTTCAGATCAATGCATTACGTCGTGGCATACGGGAGAAACTAATTAAACTAGTTAAAAAAAGGATCATGGGTTAAGATCGGATGTGTTTTATTTGGAAATCTACCGGATCCTTTGTGCATTTCACTTCCTGTTTGGTGCGATCTCATTGATGGGTTTTGACCAGATTTTGACCAAAGAGGAACTAAAAAAAAAACAAAAAACAATTTGAATACACAACCAGCATATCTGGAATCAGTGACAGAGAGCGACTGGGACCAAAAGTTTATTAATCTCTCCCCACTGATTTCCATTCAAAATGTTTTCGATCCCACCGGCCTCTAGGGAAGGGGCGGGCATACCGCCACCTACTGTTACTGAGTGTGTAGCAACATTGTTTTACATCTATTAAATTCTATTTTTAAATTTTGTATTCTGAAGATAAATAAATAATGCTTTCCTTAATCTATAAATATCTTTTATATTTCCTTTATTTCCCAATAATCCTTTAAGACTCCATTCTTGGCCTGTCCTCTTTTCAATTTCTTCCTTTCAGGTTCATATGTTTTGCAGTTCATCAATACATCTGCATTTTCTATCTCTCCACATCCTTCACATTTATCATTATTTTTCCTCCCTATTAAGTATAAATTGTCATTTAAATAAGTATGACCTACTCTTAATCTGATCATTATTATTTCTTCCCTTCGGTTTCTCTCATTAATATTTCTATTTAATACTGACTTTTGTACTTTATATAACCTTCTTCCTTTTTATCTTCATTCCACCTTTTTTTTTGTGCCATTTTTCAATTTCTTTCCTCTTAATAAATGATTTTCCTTCCCCTTTCCCTAAAGGAATTGTAATTGTTATTTGTCTACTTTTCATTCCAGCTAACTTTCCATTAATTAGCTTGAAAACAGCACTTTGTAGGCACCCAGTTTCTCTAACAATGGCCCTTTTTGGGTTACCCTCCATGCATTGGGTGTCAGTTCAGTTTTCTTAGGGTTGACCAGGCAGCACAATAATGTGCATGTGGCCAAAAAGTAATAGGGATCAAATTCGGTTCAGAGTCAAGCTATTGGGATCAGGCATCAGGTTCAATTTGCATATTTTCTTAGCCAAAACAAGGATTTGTTGGGCTACTGTAATTTTGAATTGAAAAACGTCCTGAATGGGAAGTCTTCAAACTTGAAAAACAAAGTCCAAAGTTTTTTTTTTTTTTTTTTTTTTTTTTTTTGGAATGATTATGACCTGGATGTCTAAGAATCTTCACCAGCTTATCAGGGAAATGAATGCCCACAATGTCTATATTCTCCAAAAGAGAATAACAGAACAGACCTTCACGAGGCCCTTGTTAAAGCTATGCACATATTTATGCATCTATGCTCATCAAATAACTTTCTGGTTCGACGCAACATTTACATTAAATGGGTTGAGAGGTTGTTCTTTACCAGTAAATACATAAAAGATTCCCAGATGACTGCCGATACAAACTCTCCCCTATAAAACCTGAAACTAATTCTTATAAGAGAGTAAAATCTGTATTAGTCTTCATTAAATGTAGCATATTGTTGTAAATAATCGATTGCTTTATTTTTGGTGTCAGCTTTTGGTCAATATGCTAACCTTAAAAGGTCAAAGTGGGAAAATGTAGTAGTAGTAGACAAATTAGCAATTAGAGGAGGCAATAACAATTACAATTCCTTTAGGGAAAGGGAAAGGAAAATCATTTATTAAGAGGAAAGACATTGAAAAATGGCAAAAAAAAGGTGGAATGAAGATAAAAAGGAAGAAGGTTATATAAAGTACAAAAGTCAGTATTAAATAGAAATATTAATGAGAGAAACCGAAGGGAAGAAATAATAATGATCAGATTAAGAGTAGGTCATACTTATTTAAATGACAATTTATACTTAATAGGGAGGAAAAATAATGATAAATGTGAAGGATGTGGAGAGATAGAAAATGCAGATGTATTGATGAACTGCAAAACATATGAACCTGAAAGGAAGAAATTGAAAAGAGGACAGGCCAAGAATGGAGTCTTAAAGGATTATTGGGAAATAAAGGAAATATAAAAGATATTTATAGATTAAGGAAAGCATTATTTATTTATCTTCAGAATACAAAATTAAAAAATAGAATTTAATAGACGTAAAACAATGTTGCTACACACTCATGAACAGTAGGTGGCGGTATGCCCGCCCCTTCCCTAGAGCACGGTGGGATCGAAAACATTTTGAATGGAAATCAGTGGGGAGAGATTAATAAACTTTTGGTCCCAGTCGCTCTCTGTCACTGATTCCAGATATGCTGGTTGTGTATTCAAATTGTTTTTTGTTTTTTTTTAGTTCCTCTTTGGTCAAAATCTGGTCAAAACCCATCAATGAGATCGCACCAAACAGGAAGTGAAATGCACAAAGGATCCGGTAGATTTCCAAATAAAACACATCCGATCTTAACCCATGATCCTTTTTTTAACTAGTTTAATTAGTTTCTCCCGTATGCCACGACGTAATGCATTGATCTGAAAATCAACCTCAGACGCAACGCCGCAGTGGCGAGGGTTTGATCCGTCAGATGGAGTTAAATCACAAAGAATTCAATGTTGAATCGGGGCGGCAGCTAAATGCTAGGCGATGGGTAGCAGCCAAAACGTTGCAATTTCACATAATCCTGACGAGATCCGAAAAACCGTAACAAAAACTAGCAAGCGGGTGATTATGTATGCTCTCTGTCACTGATTCCAGATATGCTGGTTGTGTATTTAAATTGTTTTTTATTTATTTTTTGTTCCTCTTTGGTCAAAATCGGGTCAAAACCCATCAATGAGATCGCACCAAACAGGAAGTGAAATGCACAAAGGATCCGGTAGATTTCCAAATAAAACACATCCGATCTTAACCCATGATCCTTTTTTTAACTAGTTTAATTAGTTTCTCCCGTATGCCACGACGTAATGCATTGATCTGAAAATCAACCTCAGATGCAACGCACGCAGTGGCGAGGGTTTGATCCGTCAGATGGAGTTAAATCACAAAGAATTCAATGTTGAATCGGGGCGGCAGCTAAATGCTAGGAGATGTGTAGCAGCCTAAACGTTGCAATTTCACATAATCCTGACGAGATCCGAAAAACGTAGCAAAAACTAGCAAGCGGGTGATTATGTATGTTCACTAAGGAAATATTATGTAAATAAACCCTACACTTCTCGCTATAAATGTAATCAAAACCCATTTAAATGCAGAAACTGATTGAAATTATTGATTTTCCCACTAAAAGTTAGAGAAATCTCAGCCATGTTTATACCAAAATGTTACAGTTTCACATTATCTTGAAAAATCTTTGCAAGAAACGAACAAGCAAGTGAATATGTACATTCCCTGAGTAAATATTCTGGTAACAAACTATACATTTCTCACTAGAAATGTAATCAAAACTCATTTTAATGCAAAAACAAACTCAAGTCATTAATCTTTCCACAAAAAAATGAGCGAATGTCGGCCATATATTTATTTTTTTTCTTCTCCCAGCTGGAATCTTGAAAGTCACGTGACTAGGACGTAAAACAATAGAAAGCGTATAGGTAGAAGAAACGTAACAGTACCACAAAAAAATGGCCATTAATGTACCTCCACTACGTTTTGCAGTGTGGACCAACGTAGTGGGGGTACATTTTCCCATGAGACTGGGTTGCAATCAGTTAAAATCTAGACCTTCGAATAAGGTACAACATCTATTTATAACATCTTGTTGTTAGTTTACATTTAAATTTAGAACATATAATTCAAGCTCATCTTAATCCTGGGATGGACACCTTTCTACTATTGAGCTGCTAATTTCACCTAAGTGATGTCAACCAACAATAAATTTTTTCATCTGATTTTTAGTGAAATACCGCCACTATGGGAACTTTAAACAAAATCAGGACTCTGTCTTCTTGAAAAGAACAATATCAGTGTTTGTATCGTTTACATATCAAACTCAGCTATTTTAGATGGAAATTGATATTTTAAAGATGGAAAGACGGAAGAAGCTGGAGGGAGGTCTGAAATGATTAGTGATAATAATATAACTACTTGAGCTTATAAAATTGACATCCAGACCCTGTTACACTATATTATCATAATGATGGTGCCAAATATGACATATTTCTATCATTATCTTACACAATGCTTCAGTTATCGCGCCTTATAAATCCAACATTTGAAACAGTTCAGGTACAGGTTCTTCCTTTTCTAGTACCTGCTTGCTCGCTCCTCCTGCTTCTTCTGCTGCTTGGTCAGTAGCTGGGATCGTCTCAGCCTTTATAGAATAAAATCAACACAAAGTAACATTCAAGGATTGTGGTGATGTTTAGTATTGTATCAATGTTGAATATAGCATAAGCAAAAACAGGAGTTTATATCAGAGCAAGGAAAACTGAGAACAGAGACCATTTTTATAAACCAGATTAACCTTTTTTTTGAGTTTTTACAGCAATAGTGGCTTGTTTTTTTATGGACAGTAGGTTGACAGGAAAGGGGGTAGGAGAGGGGGAGAGACATGCAGGAAATGACCACAGGCCAGATTCAAACCCAGGTCAGCCACATTAAGGACTAAGGCCTTCATACGTGGGTCGTGTGACCTAACCACTGCGCCACCAAAGCACACCCCACCAGATGAACTTTTAATCATACATTCCAGAAACTGTCAGGATGGGCACCTTATGTTTTGGGTCTATGAGATTCTTGATGAAATCCAGATCTTCTTTGAGAATATTTTTAAGCTCTTCTATTTCTTCAGGATCTCCTCTATCCTCGCCAGTCATTTCCTTTCGCACATCCTTCATATATTTTAGTAAGCCATCATTCTTTTCCATCAGATGGTCAATCATCTTTTTAGATAGTTCCTCATGCTGCAAGACACAAAATTATTTATCGTGAGAACAGGACATCACATTCTGAAAATAAAAGTAACATATCTATCTGAATAAAGCGGAAATAGTCTACTTTGTATTAGAAACAAAAGGACACTGTTTAACTTTAAATGTGGGCAGACATCAGGTGTGATCATTATTTACTTGGGAGCTGTGATCAGTTTTTATTTTCAATTTGACTGTTGGGATATATTGCCACAATGAGCACAAATCAGTTGGATGAACCATCTAAAGCCATCCCCCTTTTCCTTTTTCACAAAGAGAATAAAAGATTAGCTGGAAAAGTACTGTAGCTGCCCACTGTAAAAGGCGGTCAGCTCAAGCACAGACCAATCAGCTGATGGAGGAGGCTGACACTTGATCAGGAAATGCCCCCACGTCACTCATGGTTTAAAACGCAAAGCGCGGACTAAAGCTTTTTCTTTCCATGGTTTCACGACCTGTAAGAAGAGACTGCTTTCACGTGAAATGCCAGAAGAAAGCTAAATGGAAGCTTTTGTGTTTCCTGCGTCAAAAGTCGTGGATGGCAGTGTCTAATCGTGCATAGCGGCTGCGCTAACTGAGGAGATAGAAACCTCCGGAGCTGACTGCTGAGTGGAGTCCCCCCCCTTCTTGAGGACCTTGCAAAGGACATAACGGCCTATCGCAAAAGGGACGTCTTCTGCCGATAGTTTCCATAAAAAAAATCTTCCTCGACTTACAAGCACATCAAGCCCTCTGCTGTAGCATCAAACTGACTGAAACTTTCCCGAGAGCGGATCCGATGGTGTAGAAGACCCGCATGGCTGGAGCCACACCACGTGCTCCCTCGGAACCCGCAACTCACAGTAATATCACTCTTCTTTTCTTTTGATGCATTAGTGAGGTGCTGTGCTCGGCGAGAGAGACAGGTAGATTCAGGGATTTGATTTAATGCTGATTTTAATTTGTGTTGGTTATAAGAGTTCTGGTTAATTGGTTGAAATAAGTGTGCTGTGAAAGCTGCAAGTGATATTTCTTTCTTCTTCTCTTTCCTATCCTCTTTTCGTTTGTTTCAGCTTTAAGGGAGTTATAGAGATATTACATTCAACCGCGTGTGGTCCCGTGTTCCCCCCCCCCTTTTTATCACATTAAGAGGGAGGTCTCTCGTACATTTACATGCCTTCCCCACATACATACATACTGCCTTGTTGATGCCGTTTTGCTAAAACGACTTCTGCTGCTGTTGTTTAATGCATTTTTAACCATTTACCATTTTTAAGCTGAATGTATTAATTTTATGTTGATTAATTGCACTGTTATCATCAAACCTGCTGCTATTCCAGAGGACATTAGTAAATGTATTAACATCTGGCATTTTGAACAACCTCAAAAGCCAGTTAAACGGACTTTTACTGTTTTATTCTCTTTTTTCTATTCTTCTTTGTTTTCTTTAAACTAGTCATTTAATCTACCTCGTGTTTTTTTCTAATAGCGGGTAGTGTTTGCATAGATGTTAGATTTTCTGTAATCCTGACTTATAAGAATAAAGAAATCGTTGTTTAACTTGTAGTAGTTCTGTGTTTCATATAGTGGACGATTTATCACTCAGGTCAGATCCACCCCTTTTGGTAATAGTGCGAATAAACAGAGATAAAAAGTTCTTTATTGATAATTAAGAGCTCTGCTGATAACTTAGCCTGGGCCACTAGATTGGTGGAAACCTGGATTTTAAAAGCCGGTCCAGGAACCCTTCATAGGTGAAACCACAAACCCTGGTAAGTAAGTAAATTAAAGCTACAATTATTCAACTAAGAACACTAAATTGATTTCACCTCCGATTTTGAATAGGTTAAATAACTATAACTCCAGTTTTAGTTAATCAATTATTCATTATCTGCAGGATATTATTTTGCACAACATGACCTTTAGATAAGAGCTGTACTATGCAAATAACTTCCACTTATACTTGAAACATTGATTAAAAACATTTGTAAAAAAAAAAAAACTGTTTTGGTATTTATGAAGATATAAGCAGAATGAAAATAGATTTCAATTTGCACACAGTGATTTTTTTTAAGGGAGTCTTAAATCTGAGTTCGCTTTTAATCCCAATCAATTAATCAAAACGTATTTATTGTCAGATCGAGGTCTTCTCACACCCCTGTTCTCCGGCTGCCACCCCGAGTCTGGGGCCTGGAGGAAGAGTGAGCCGCCTGGTCCGTGGGAGATGTAAACGGGAGATGTAAACCCGAGTCACAATGTCTAAGGCTGTTTGTTAATAAACTAGTTAACTTGTAAAGACGTGGATTTCTTTATGTACTGCAGCACAAACATTACACCCCCCGGCTGGGTTCCCTGCCAGGGGGTGGGGCGTCCCTGGCGGATACACTTCGGTACTTGGCTGCCGGCGGAGCCCCCGGACTCGTCCCCGCGGCTCCCGGGGGCTCCGGCATTGCGGTGGCTGGGGGGCTTCCTATCTCTCCTCCTCCCTTGGTGGGGTCGGATTTCCTGGGTTACCCCTGCTTGGTGCCTTAGCTCTTAGGGTCCCTTTGGGTGTCTGGGGCTTTGGGTCTCCCGGCACTGGACTCATGCTCTGGGGGGGGGCGCCTCTTCAGCTCTCAACAACCACTATTGAGCCATCTTCCTTTGGATAAACTTAACATGCAGAAGTGCACTTTCCCAAAACAACTACAGGTGCTTGATTCCAGGTACTTAGAGATTCACTTCCACACAGAGAGCCCACACTCTTGTCTTCAGGTAACACAGAGTACATGTCAGATTAATGTGTTAGTATGTCTCGTAACATGTCCGTTGGTTGTGCTGTTCTTTTTGCGTCTCTTTGCAGCAGTGTTAATTTCGTCAGCCATGACGTTGACGAAAATATTTCGTCAACGCTCCTTTTTCCCGTGACAATGACAAGACGAGAACGAACAAAAATTGTTTCCAGAAAATAAAAATATGACGAAAATAAAAAAAATATTTTTCGTCGAGACAAGACAGACGAAATGGACATTAAAAAATGTAATTATTTATGATTAATTTTTAATTGTTAATATAAGTGTTTCTCGAGCTTCATAGAAGATGCCTTATTTGTCCCAAGACGGCACCTGTCCCACAGTTTCTCGCGCTGCTCAGTCAGTAGTAGCAGAGGGCTAACTCATAGCTCAACTTCGCAGTCATTGCGGATACCGGTGTGCGGTTTGTTAAACAATGCCTGGATGAATGGAGCCATTACATTCGCTTACAACTCGAAGGAAAACACCGCAGTAAGGATGCAACCAAAGGGTCTCTGGCTTCAACAAGGCAGGGAAGAACACAGCGAATCTCAAGCGACATCTCAGGTGCCAACAGGTTACATATGGAATAAGGTAATAAACGGGTGGGCCTGTAGTAGTGGGAACGGGTGTGTTAGTGCGTGCACGGGTGCATGCATGTGAACGTATATTTCTGTGCGCGGGCACGCATGCATGTCGCTGTGTGTGTGTGCGCGGAGGCGCACGTGTGTGTGTGTGTGCCTTCCTGTGCCTGCATCTGTCTTTCTCTCTCTATCATAGAAGAAAGATGTTCTACTGATACACTGTATATTAATCGTTTAATAGATTCCTGACACATTGACAACACAGCCAAATCAGAGGTTGGGGAAGGAAGGGAAGTCTGTTGCTGAGATGTACCCCCACCCCTGACGCCAAGAGCAGAAAGCCCTGGACAACTGAATGGCAAAGTGGATTGGGCATTCTAGCCTGCCTGCAAGGACCTTTGAGGATGAAGACTTTGTGGATATGATGAAACAAGCCGACAAAAGGTTCAATGTGTACAGTGTGATATATGTTAAAAGGAGAATCAGTGTGTGAAGTTCTATTCTGCACAATGTTATATAAATAAAATTGAGAAAAAGAGAAGCTGTGTGTGATGAAGTCAGTGACTCACTTTTCTTTCTCGGGTGGGTAGACAGGCAGGTGAGCTCATTGAAAGGATCCAGAAAGCAGGGGGGGACGGAATCGGAACAAGCGGGACTGGAAAAAAGGAGGACAAGGAAGGTAAGGACACATCAAAAATATTACGTAGAGAGGAGCTAGCGGGTAACTTACCATGGCATGGAAGTTAAACAACTGGCATCCGTCTAGGAAATCCACTCCTCTAATTACTGCCTCCTGATTGCAGCAAAGTGGCATCAGCTGGGAGCTCATCCTGCCGAACGCACCCCGGAGAAAAAAGGTTAGACACCTAACACAGAGACCCAACAAAAGTACTACAATTCCAATCTCATGCTAAAACTTATCATATCCAAGACTATTATTGCAGATCTAACATACTTTAACTTCTTTTATCCTTTCTTTCTTTTGTTTTACAACTTGAAATATTATGAAGGTTGAACAACAGCATTGTGAAGGTGTTTGGAATGCATATATTTGTGTATCAGGGTCAGATTTTCCTGCCAGACCTGCCTGAACCCATGGCAAAATATCTGGAAAAAATGACTGTTTTATGATAGGTTAGGCCCAGCTTCTACCAGACCTGCCTCAAATCTTCCAAGGACAAACAATGGAGAAGATATGAACCCTATATGAACTTTCTTGCTGCCAACAGGAACTTGGCTCATCACTGTTCCAGATCACATGTCTTTATGGACCTATTTGTTGATCTCAAAACAAAGAATTGCATCTCAATTTCCAGATCAAAAAGGGGGGTATCTTGTGCCATATGCCATGATCATGGTTTTGGACATTGAGAACCACTGTCCATGTTTCATCTTGACATGATGATCGGCAAAGAGAATGCATTTTTGGCTCATAAACAGCTTTGAGACCACTGCAACCCCCCCTTCTCAGCTAACTGCCTCCACAGGAACTCCCACAGAGGTGACACCTGCCACCCTCCTCTGTGTTGAGAACATTAAAACAACTGCATAGGCAAAAAGCCTAGATCTCCAGAATGATCAATAAATCATGAGGGTTGTCTTTTCAGAACCAAACTGCTGCAAAACAGACATTTTGCTACACATTCCTCTTGAGTTTC